CACAAGTGGTCACTGAATGGTTTGATGAGCATGAAAACGTGCAAACTACAGTGGGGAGAACAAGTATTTGATACACTGCCGATTTTGCAGGTTTTCCTACTTACAAAGCATGTAGAGGTCTGTAATTTTTATCATAGGTACACTTCAACTGTGAGAGACGGAATCTAAAACAAAAATCCAGAAAATCACATTGTATGAGATTTAAGAAATTCATTTGCATTTTATTGCATGACATAAGTATTTGATCACCTACCAACCAGTAAGAATTCCGGCTCTCACAGACCTGTTAGTTTTTCTTTAAGAAGCCCTCCTGTTCTCCACTCATTACCTGTATTAACTGCACCTGTTTGAACTCGTTACCTGTATAAAAGACACCTGTCCACACACTCAATCAAACAGAATTCCAACCTCTCCACAATGGCCAAGACCAGAGAGCTGTGTAAGGACATCAGGGATAAAATTGTAGACCTGCACAAGGCTGGGATGGGCTACAGGACAATAGGCAAGCAGCTTGGTGAGAAGGCAACAACTGTTGGCGCAATTATTAGAAAATGGAAGAAGTTCAAGATGACGGTCAATCACCCTCGGTCTGGGGCTCCATGCAAGATCTCACCTCATGGGGCATCAATGATCATGAGGAAGGTGAGGGATCAGCCCAGAACTACACGGCAGGACCTGGTCAATGACCTGAAGAGAGCTGGGACCACAGTCTCAAAGAAAACCATTAGTAACACACCACGCCGTCATGGATTAAAATCCTGCAGGGCATGCAAGGTCCCCCTGCACAAGCCAGCGCATGCCCAGGCCTGTCTTAAGTTTGCCAATGACCATCTGGATGATCCAGAGGAGGAATGGGAGAAGGTGGTCTGATGAGACAAAAATATAGCTTTTTGGTCTAAACACTCGCCGTGTTTGGAGGAAGAAGAAGGATGAGTACAACCCCAAGAACACCATCCCAACCGTGAAGCATGGAGGTGGAAACATCATTCTTTGGGGATGCTTTTCTGCAAAGGGGACAGGACGACTGCACCGTATTGAGGGGAGGACGGATGGGGCCATGTATCGCGAGATCTTGGCCAACAACCTCCTTCCCTCAGTAAGAGCATTGAAGATGGGTCGTAGCTGGGTCTTCCAGCATGACAACGACCCGAAACACACAGCCAGGGCAACTAAGGAGTGGCTCCGTAAGAAGCATCTCAAGGTCCTGGAGTGGCCTAGCCAGTCTCCAGACCTGAACCCAATAGAAATCTTTGGAGGGAGCTGAAAGTCCGTATTGCCCAGCGACAGCCCCGAAACCTGAAGGATCTGGAGAAGGTCTGTATGGAGGAGTGGGCCAAAATCCCTGCTGCAGTGTGTGCAAACCTGGTCAAGACCTACAGTAAATGTATGATCTCTGTAATTGCAAACAAAGGTTTCTGTACCAAATATTAAGTTCTGCTTTTCTGATGTATCAAATACTTATGTCATGCAATAAAATGCAAACGAATTACTTAAAAATCATACAATGTGATTTTCTGGATTTTTGTTTTAGATTCCGTCTCTCACAGTTGAAGTGTACCTATGATAAAAATTACAGACCTCTACATGCTTTGTAAGTAGGAAAACCTGCAAAATCGGCAGTGTATCAAATACTTGTTCTCCCCACTGTATATGCCATGGCCATCTCAGTCACCATATCTCAACCCAATTGAACACTTATGGGAGATTCTGGAGCGGCGTCTGAGACAGCGTTTTCCACCACCGTCAACAAAACACCAAATGATGTAATTTCTCGTGGAAGAATGGTGTCGCATCCCTCTAATAGAGTTCCAGACACTTGTAGAATATATGCCAAGGTGCATTAAAGCTGTTCTGGCTTGTGCTGTCCCAACATGTTGGTGTATTTTGGTAGTTACCTGTATACAAAAATATATATATACAGTGGCTTGCGAAAGTATTCACCCCCTTGGCATTTTTCCTATTTTGTTGCCTTACAACCTAGAATTAAAATGGATTTTTGGGGGGGTTTGTATCATTTGATTTACTCAACATGCCTACCACTTTGAAGATGCAAAATATTTAGTATTGTGAAACAAACAAGAAATAAGACCAAAAAAAAAACTTGAGCGTGCATAAATATTCACCCCCCCAAAGTCAATACTTTGTAGAGCCACTTTTTGCAGCAAATACAGCTGCAAGTCTCTTAGAGTATGTCTCTATAAGCTTGGCACATATAGCAACTGGGAGATTTGCCCATTCTTCAAGGCAAAACTGCTCCAGCTCCTTTAAGTTGGATGGGTTCAACTGGTGTACAGCAATCTTTAAGTCATACCACAGATTCTCAATTGGATTGAGGTCTGGGCTTTGACTAGGCCATTCCAAGACATTGAAATGTTTCCCCTTAAACCACTCGAGTGTTGCTTTAGCAGTATGCTTAGGGTCACTGTCCTGCTGGAAGGTGAACCTCTGTCCCAGTCTCAAATATCTGGAAGACTGAAACAGGTTTCCCTCAAGAATTTCCCTGTATTTAGCGGCATCCATCATTCCTTCAATTCTGACCAGTTTCCCAGTCCCTGCCGATGAAAAACATCCCTACAGCATGATGCTGCCACCACCATGCTTCACTGTGGGGATGGTGTTCTCGGGGTGATGAGAGGTGTTGGGTTTGCACCAGACATAGCGTTTTCCTTGATGACCAAAAGCAAAATTTTAGTCTCATCTGACCAGAATACCTTCTTCCATATGTTTGGGGAGTCTACAACATGGCTTTTGGCGAACACCAAACGTGTTTGCTCAAAGTGGTCCTATGGACAGATACTCCAATCTCCGCTGTGGAGCTTTGCAGCTCCTTCAGGGCTATCTTTGGTCTCTTTGTTGCCTCTCTGATTAATGCCCTCCTTGCCTGGTCCGTGAGTTTTGGTGGGCGGCCCTCTCTTGGCAGGTTTGTTGTGGTGCTATATTCTTTCCATTTTTTAATAATGGATTTAATGGTGCTCCGTGGGATGTTCAAAGTTTTAGATATTTTTTTATAACCCAACCCTGATCTGTACTTCTCCACAACGTTGTCCCTGACCTGTTTGGAGTGCTCCTTGGTCTTCATGGTGCCGCTTGCTTGGTGGTGCCCCTTGCTTAGTGGTGTTGCAGACTCTGGGGCCTTTCAGAACAGGTATATATATACTGAGATCATGTGACAGATCATGTGACACTTAGATTGCACACAGGTGGACTTTATTTAACTAATTATGTGACTTCTGAAGTTAATTGGTTGCACCAGATCTTATTTAGGGGCTTCATAGCAAAGGGGGTGAATACATATGCGCGCACCACTTTTACGATTTTTTTTAAATAATTTTTTGAAACAAGTAATTTTTTTTCATTTCACTTCACCAATTTGGACCATTTTGTGTATGTCCATTAAATAAAATCCAAATAAAAATCCATTTAAATTACAGGTTGTAATGCAACAAAATAGGAAAAACGCCAAGGGGGATGAATACTTTTGCAAGGCACTGTATTGTCACATACACCAGATAGGTGCAGTGAAATGTGTTGGTTTACAGGGTCAGCCATATTAGTACGGTGCCCCTGGAGCAACTTAGGGTTAAGTGTCTTGCTCAAAGGCACAGACAGATTTCTCACCATGTCGGCGCGGGTATTCGAACCAGCAACCTTTCAGTTACTGGCCCAATGCTCTAACTGCTATAATGTAATGTTATAGAAGTATCACAGAGACAAAAGAACAAGAAGGGTTGGTCTGTTAAATGCCACAGAAGCTGGACACTATGGGGCAGTTTCGCAAACACAGATTAAGCCTAATCCTAGACTAAATTGCACTTTTAAACTGGACTAACTGAAATTGCATTTCTCAGACATGGTTGAAAATAGTCTCAGACTTGCCCTAGTGTAGATTGAAAAAGTCTGACTTCCAGAAGGACGATTAGAGTTAATCTAGATCTAAGTGATAGTTTAAATTAAACCTGGCCAGAGTCAGGTTTAACTTCAGATTAATGGATGTTGGCCCCCAGGTTGACCTTGGCAATGGAGGAAAATTGATTACCTGGACTATTTCAATGATGATCAAAGAGCATCACCAAGGCCAGACAGAAGGGTGGTTATAGACAGGAGCAACCCACTGAATGATTTTAATTAAATACATTTCCGTGACCATTTCCGTATGTACAAAGAAAATGCAGCTGACATTTGTTTGCTTGAGCCAAGGCTTTCATCGGACTCACTTCGGGGAAGGCCCCTCCCTCCTTCCCTACAAGTACTGATCACCTTGAAGTTTTTGCCATCTGGAGCCTTCCATCGTGAAACTGGAGATTTGTGTGCTGAACCTACTGTATGCAGAATAGTCACCAAAGTCTGCAATGAAATATGTGAACTGATGTTCGCTGATGCTGCTGCCCAAGCCAACTACAAGGTAGAGTTCTATGAATATGAGAACTTCCCTGGAGTCATTGGCTGTATAGATGAATGTTATATTCCCATCAAGTGTCCCTCTACAGCAGATACTGAGGAGTACAGGACTCGTCAAAACGGGTTCTCAATAAATATATAAAGTGTGTGCACTCCCAATGTGCAGTTCTCCAACATTTTTGCACGTTGGAAAGGTACGACTCATCACTCAAGGATTTTCCAAAACTCTTCTTTGTGTGCTCAGCTTGAAGGAGGACAACATAGTGGAATCATACTTGGTGACAGTGGGTATGTACAGACCACCCCCTGTCTTCATGCAGTAGGACCTGGGCAACAATAGTACAACCAAGTTCATTTACGCACCAGAGGTGTAGTGGAGCACATGTTTGGTGTCATTGGCGGTCAGTGCCGTTTAAGGCGGTCGGTGCCTGCATCTAGCTGATCTAGGTTGTAATCATTAGTCCAACAGTTGCAAACGAGAGTTTCTACTGGACAAATTCAGGTATGTTTATAATTTGTATTATGGGAGTGCAAGAGATGACTGACAACGTTACATATTCCCTGTTGTTCGGGGATGGCACATTGAATGAATGTGTCCTACCAAATGAGGATTGGAATGGTCCCCCATCTGAACTGTCAAAATGGTCATCATCGGAGATACCTTCCAGGGGTTGCTGGCTATCAATGATCCCGGTCAACAAGTCCACCAGCTCATCTCATCTTACCAGTCTTGAAACGCTCCCTATGAGCAACTGCATTTGTCTTCTTTAAGTAGATTTGTATGTTTTTCCACAGGACCTTAGTCAAGACAATATAGAAATGATATTAGTAATTTATGTATGATATCGTTTGTGTTACATTTCTGTCACACAAATACATTCAGGCACCACTGTGTTGTGTTACACAAGAAAACTAACATTTCAAAGTGACTGATTTGTAAAAGTGGGCCAACAATAAATATAGAAGTTGTTGTAGCGTCCTTTTGTTTACTTTTTCATTTGAGTTCAAATGGTAGTCCAGGCATTATTTGTATTGTTTTTTCTGTTGATGAATCATGCTGTTTGTTCTCAATAATTTGGTGGTTTGAAACAATTCGCTTTGAGGATTTTTTCAAAGTCACTGAAATTCTTTAAATGTTTTATTTTACCTCCGTCCATTGTTTGGTTTAGGTGACTTGATCCAATGCCACACAATGCTTATGTATTAGTGTCCCATCCCTGTTTTCTGAAGCATCCTCAGGTCAGCACCAAGTGCACATCGTTAATCTAATCAGGCGTCACAAAGATGAACTGGTTAGTCCTTTCTTACATTAGGCTAGGACTCCCTAGTCTAGAACTAATTAATCTGGATTAATTTAAGTAGAATTAGCCTAGTCCTGACATAAATTAAACTCTGTCTGCGAAACCACCCTTACGTGATATCTTTCAACCACAACAATGAGCCTTTCTGGCACAAAATGGCTGCCGTGCAGTATCCAAATGGAGGGTGGATGAGATGGTTTACTACAAATACATGAAACAGTGTGTTGACATGATGAAAGATGCCATATGACTGTGATTCATCACCATTATTCAACTGTCAAGAGAAGTCTCTGATACTGGCTCATATCCACTCATGTTCTTGGTCTCTCTCTGCTTCTTTGTTTACATACTGTGTCCGACGGTGAGGTGTGTGTGTGTCTGTTTCTATAAAGAATTAACACAGCCTAGCACCACCACATCTAATGACCTAAGTTAGTGTGACAGACACGTGCATTAGGCCAGTAGGATTGAGAATAGGACCGCGTCGCTTCCAGCTCTGACATGGATTATAAGGAAGGCTGCTGAAGCATTACATCTCTCTCTATTCAATGCATACACACCAAACAGCCGTATGTAGACTGCCTCACCACTGATACAGTGTCAGATGTTCATCCATCTACCTAATGGTTAAGGTTAGATGTGGGTGAGAGTATCTGATCCTAGATCTGTGGTTAAGGCCAATGTCAATCTCAAGCCGCAGATAATGGTGGTACTGAGGACAGGAGGGGTGTTCTGCAGCATCGTTCATTTACAGCCACAATCAGATTATCAGGACATTATGTATTCCAAGGACGGGCCCTGAGCGTGATGGATGGTTGGTGCAGTCTAATCTCCACCAAGGTGCTATTTCTTCCCTCCCTCCAACGAGAGACGGATGGAGGGATGGGAGAGAGGGATGTACAACTCAACTCCAGTCTTCAGGGGTCTGTGGGTTTCTCAGGGTAAAACTTTAACTGCAATTATGTACTCAAACTAAAACGAATTAAAACTTGTGTAATTAAGACATCAAAGTCAGTGGGAAATGTCTGCGAACATTTGACTTCCAGGACACACGTCTCAAGAATTCCACACCTAACCAGCAACTGATTTTTACTTAGTGACCATTCTTCTGTACCATGACAAGAACTCTTAGAAATGAATGAATAAAGCAAGCTCAAATCTGTCCTTAGAAGACATGGAGACATTGATTAGAGAGGAGGGCATGTTGTTGTTGTACCAGGAGAACTGTGAAGGTTAAACTACGCCAGGAGCAGAGAAGGAGCTCCACAGTCCACACAAGCATGTGAAGAGTTCACAAGGTTTGTTTGTGTTAGCTGAAATCAAAATGCAGATCCTATATACACGCACAGAGGAATCAAACAGTAGCCAGTCTCTAAAGCGAGTGCATCGATCGGACAATATCGCTTTAGAATATGGAGGCGAGGAGTATGGAAATAACAGATGTAGAATCAAAACATCGAGGTCAAGCCAGCTGAGAATTTTTTTTTTTCCATATTAAATTACAAAAGAAAGATCACACATTCACACTTTTAAACAATCGATGGTTATGCTGCTTTGTACGTGTATTTTTTGCTGGCAGGTAAAATTGCTCTCAGCTCCTGGTGGTATATGTAAAATTAGAACGGCTTCTCTTTCCTACCTGCAGTATCCTTAGAACTGTCAAGATCAGAGAATGCATTAGTTGGGAGGGAATGTTAAAAGAAGGAAATATTTCACAGCCACATTTCACAATCGATAGAATCATAGTCAAAAGTCTAAACAAGCAGCACAGCTCCAGTAATGGCAGTAGCAGTCTCGCAGTAAGGGCTCCATTCCACCGTTGCTAAGCGGCTCGCCGCCTCGTTCTAGAATGTTGTGTGTTTAGGGGCCAGTTGTCTCCTGATAAAGTATCAAAGCACTGCCATGAAACAAATCATAGAACAAGACGTGTCTTTCAACACCAGACTTTTACAACGGATCATTTCCTGTCCAGAGAGGAAGTGGAATGCAGACATCCACTAGTGCAGTGGTCGTTAGACTGAAATGGATACTGAATCTCCTTCCTCTGGAGTCTGGACAGTCTCTGTGGTGATGTAAAGGAGTAGGATAAAGTTGCCCCTTGACAGACAGATCGAAGCTCCTTTCTCCTTACCTCTCTGACCAGCTGTTTCTGTAGCAGGAAGGAGACGCATCATCATGAAAGACAGGATGGGAAGTGACTGATGGGTGTGACGGCAGAGACAGGATTTGAACCAATTGAATGAGAGGAGTTAGTGCTGGGCTGGAACAGAAATGTGTGCACCCTCAGGATCCCCCAGGAATAGATTGATAAACAGCAGATTAGTTCCCAGTACTGAGAGGTGATATTACCTCAACTATAAACACAAACTTCTCTCTGGTCGAGGCTGTAACAGTTTGTTCTTCCAGAGGTAATGAGAGAACATAAATATGGAGAGAGAGAGACAGAAAGACAGAGGCAGAGAAAGAGAACATTCCCATCCCAGATGGACTGGGAACGAGAACAGTAATGGGATCATGGTCTGGTTCAGCCAGGATGTGTGTCTGTGTGTCCCAGCTGTGTGATCCAGTTTATCTTTGGCGCCAGATACACTGATGGGGTTACAGAAACTCCCCACTACCTGGCTATTTGTACAGGAGATACACTCACTGACGTAGATACTGTAAATCAAATCAAATGTATTTAGAAAGCCCTTTTTACATCAGCATGTCACAAAGTGCTTATACAGAAACCCAGCCTAAAACCCCAAACAGAAAGCAATGCAGAAGCACATCTGTACCATTCAAAGTGTGTGTGTATGTGTATGTGTGTGTAATGCTCATTTGTCATGAACACCCCCCTAGAAGGTGAGTGTAAAGGGGGGAGGGTCATTCATGCAGTGTACAAGTTACAACCCCCAAATAGACTTAACGAACACTATCCTGACAGGGGACAGCTCAGGCCTGACTCACATCCTGACTAGGTGCAGACCTTTCTCCCTGTTTCAGGGACTTGTACAAGAGGTCAGTCTTATCTTGCTCTCCCAAATACATAGGTAGGCAGAGATATATAGGCCTAATCTCAACCCCAACCTTTTTCTTTTATCTGGTTCCTGTTTAGTAGGGTTCATTGTTAGCTTGGGGATTTACTGTGGTCAGTACTGATAAACACAAAACACTTCATAGGTAGTAAATCCAGACAGTGGTGATTGATTTGAATGGAACGATTATCGGGGGTGAGGGGGTCAAAACATTTATTGTTTGGAGTAATTGGGGCTGTTCCTGTTCCTCCATCCCCCTCCCTTTGTGGTTCCAACTTGAACTTCCTGTCCACTCTACAGCCCCCCTGGATGCTGTTGACGATAAGAGACAGGAAGAGGAAGGAATCTTCATATCGTCATCTAACCAAGTAAACTAAAGCATCCAGCGGCCTACCCGTAACACAAAAAATATCTAGTGGAAATACTACTTTGGAATTCCACAGAATCATCTGGAGTGGAACGTTTACATCTCTCTATTAGAAACATCACAGAATATCAGGAGTGATAAAGAACAGAACACTTGGAATACTCCTCAAATACACCAAATCTACTTTAACACTGTTTCTAGGAAACAAACGAGAAGGAAAAAACCTTGACTTCCTTTCTACTACTACCCTCAGTGGATTCATCCTTTCCCAGAAGAGGTCCAGGGTTTCACTCACTCACATTCTGGGATAAAAGAAAGGAAAACCCAAACATACTGTGTTTCTCCTTTTTCCACTGATGACGCAGTGTGTAAAATAGCAGAACTAGGAACCAAACAAGATCTCCTCTCAAAAAACGATTTTTAATTAAGACAAAAAAGTTGAATCATTAACAAGTTTATAAAACAGTGATTTAGTTACATAAATAAATTGATATCGGTGTATCAAATCTGAATTTCAACTTCATGAGCAATGTTGACTCGGTCGAAGAAGTACAATCGTTTACCTATCATAATAAATAAACTGGAACATGAATGATTTTTGTCTCTGGACAAAGGACCTATGGACAAACCTCTAGGGTACAAGAGACACTAGACAATGTTTCTGCACCCAAAAACAAACAGAGGAGAAGGGATTTTTAAAGCACAGAACACAGAACCATTCAGCTAAAAATTAAAGACACAAAAAGTTGTAACCAAAGTTGGTTGGCTTTTTCATTTTAATGAACAAAGTTTGGTAGTTAGAACTCCCGTTTGGTTGTTTTAAAGCGTTAAGACAAGGCAAGAAAGAAGGCTGTTCTCGTTGAGGAATTCTACAGACAAAACTAAAAAGTTAAAAAAGAAGAGAAACATATAAAAAGGCGTTTAAAAAAAATTGGAACAGTCAAGACCAACATAGCAACTTACTGTCCTGCACAAAGTCAAGGAGTTGGCAGAAGAGGCATGTTGTACAAGTTGTTGGTTCATTGTAGAGGCATGTACATGTTGTTGTTTCGTTGTTGTGCATATAATGGAGCTTATTTTTTGTGACTTGAACACTGCGGAAGGAGACATGATGCGTGAACAGACCAAATTTCACTACAGCGTATTACTATTCTAATTATTAGTAAAGAGTCAGGGATTTTGTCGGATCTACATTTCAGGGCTTCGTAGGCACTGGGCCTGAATTCTCCATTTGTAATGCTAAGGCTCACTGATCTGGTTCCTGGGAAGTCTCCCTTTCTTTCCTCTTATTCTACGGTGCCCAATACAACTGTGTGTTCAACTGGAGGATACATCTATTTTGCTGGTCCATACAAAATACAACATCCATGTCCTTTTTTGCAAACAGACGGTTCCTGTCAAGCAGTCCAGTGGATGTCAGTCTGTCTGTCTCTCCGGGGTCACCCAGCTAACAGTCCTACTGCGATGACCCCTAACCTTTGACCTTTGCCATGGCCCCTGATGATGCAACACAAGGCGACACGTTTTAAGTCCTTCTGATATGTTTTGGATTTAAAAACCAAGGTACTGCAGCTTCAAGTATTTTGCATTACATAGAATATTATTTTATAAATTAGTTAACGTATACATTTGTTTTCAATATTCAGACATATACTATCATATATACAGTACAATAAAATACTCCCATTCTCTTTTTTAAAATTTTCCCTAGCTTTTTTTTTAGAGAAATCCCTGAGAATGTATGTTGACAGTTGCTAAGTTTCCAGAAGCGCAAGCACTATGACAGTATAAGTGTGTTTTCAGTGTGTCTCTGCAACTGCCGGAGTTTAAGAGTGTGTCCGTTACTGTGTGTGTTTTTCTGTGTTTCTGATTTTGTACGTTTGCCCACTGACAAAGAAATGATCAGTTTATAATTTTAATGGTAGGTTTATTTGAACAGTGAGAGACAGAATAACAACAAAAAAATCCAGAAAAACGCATGTCAAAATAGTTATTAATTGATTTGCATTTTAATGAGGGAAATAAGTATTTGACCCCCTCTCAATCAGATAGATTTCCGGCTCCAGGTGTCTTTTATACAGGTAACGAGCTGAGATTAGGAGCACACTCTTAAAGGGAGTGCTCCTAATCTCAGTTTGTTACCTGTATAAAAGACACGTGTCCACAGAAGCAATCAATCAATCAGATTCCAAACTCTCCACCATGGCCAAGACCAAAGAGCTCTCCAAGGATGTCAGGGACAAGATTGTAGACCTACACAAGGCTGGAATGGGCTACAAGACCATCGCCAAGCAGCTTGGTGAGAAGGTGACAACAGTTGGTGCGATTATTCGCAAATGGAAGAAACACAAAAGAACTGTCAATCTCCCTCGGCCTGGGGCTCCATGCAAGATCTCACCTCGTGGAGTTGCAATGATCATGAGAACGGTGAGGAATCAGCCCAGAACTACACGGGAGGATCTTGTCAATGATCTCAAGGCAGCTGGGACCATAGTCACCAATAAAACCATTGGTAACACACTACGCCGTGAAGGACTGAAATCCTGCAGCGCCCGCAAGGTCCCCCTGCTCAAGAAAGCACATATACATGCCCATCTGAAGTTTGCCAATGACCATCTGAATGATTCAGAGGATAACTGGGTGAAAGTGTTGTGGTCAGATGAGACCAAAATGGAGCTCTTTGGCATCAACTCAACTCGCCGTGTTTGGAGGAGGAGGAATGCTGCCTATGACCCCAAGAACACCATTCCCACTGTCAAACATGGAGGTGGAAACATTATGCTTTGGGGGTGTTTTTCTGCTAAGGGGACAGGACAACTTCACCGCATCAAAGGGACGATGGACGGGGCCATGTACCGTCAAATCTTGGGTGAGAACCTCCTTCCCTCAGCCAGGGCATTGAAAATGGGTCGTGGGTGGGTATTCCAGCATGACAATGACCCAAAACACACAGCCAAGGCAACAAAGGAGTGGCTCAAGAAGAAGCACATTAAGGTCCTGGAGTGGCCTAGCCAGTCTCCAGACCTTAATCCCATAGAAAATCTGTGGAGGGAGCTGAAGGTTTGAGTTGCCAAACATCAGCCTCAAAACCTTAATGACTTGGAGAAGATCTGCAAAGAGGAGTGGGACAAAATCCCTCCTGAGATGTGTGCAAATCTGGTGGCTACTACAAGAAACGGCTGACCTCTGTGATTGCCAACAAGGGTTTTGCCACCAAGTACTAAGTCATGTTTAGCAGAGGGGTCAAATACTTATTTCCCTCATTAAAATGCAAATCAATTTATAACATTTTTGACATGCGTTTTTCTGGATTTTGTTGTTGTTATTCTGTCTCTCACTGTTCAAATAAACCTACCATTAACATTATAGACTGATCATTTCTTTGTCAGTGGGCAAACGTACAAATTCAGCAGGGGATCAAATACTTTTTTCCCTCACTGTATGTGTGCTTGTTTAGTGTGTGTGTGTGTGTGTGTGTGTGTGTGTTTCTGCATGTGTCTAAAGCATCAGGGTAAACAACACTGCAAAGCCATAGCAGAGTCAGCCTGGAGTTGGTGATTCCTGTTACTAAAGCCATAGCAGACAGTCAGCCTGGAGTTGGTGATCCCTGTTACTAAAGCCATAGCAGAGTCAGCCTGGAGTTGGTGATTCCTGTTACTAAAGCCATAGCAGACAGTCAGCCTGGAGTTGGTGATCCCTGTTACTAAAGCCATAGCAGACAGTCAGCCTGGAGTTGGTGATTCCTGTTACTAAAGCCATAGCAGACAGTCAGCCTGGAGTTGGTGATCCCTGTTACTAAAGCCATAGCAGAGTCAGCCTGGAGTTGGTGATTCCTGTTACTAAAGCCATAGCAGACAGTCAGCCTGGAGTTGGTGATCCCTGTTACTAAAGCCATAGCAGACAGTCAGCCTGGAGTTGGTGATTCCTGTTACTAAAGCCATAGCAGACAGTCAGCCTGGAGTTGGTGATTCCTGTTACTAAAGCCATAGCAGAGTCAGCTTGGAGTTGGTGATTCCTGTTATTAAAGCCATAGCAGACAGTCAGCCTGGAGTTGGTGATTCCTGTTACTAAAGCCATAGCAGACAGTCAGCCTGGAGTTGGTGATTCCTGTTACTAAAGCCATAGCAGAGTCAGCTTGGAGTTGGTGATTCCTGTTATTAAAGCCATAGCAGAGTCAGCCTGGAGTTGGTGATTCCTGTTACTAAAGCCATAGCAGAGTCAGCCTGGAGTTGGTGATTCCTGTTACTAAAGCCATAGCAGAGTCAGCCTGGAGTTGGCGATTCCTGTTACTAAAGCCATAGCAGAGTCAGCCTGGAGTTGGTGATTCCTGTTACTAAAGCCATAGCAGACAGTCAGCCTGGAGTTGGTGATTCCTGTTACTAAAGCCATAGCAGACAGTCAGCCTGGAGTTGGTGATTCCTGTTACTAAAGCCATAGCAGACAGTCAGCCTGGAGTTGGTGATTCCTGTTACTAAAGCCATAGCAGACAGTCAGCCTGGAGTTGGTGATTCATGTTACTAAAGCCATAGCAGACAGTCAGCCTGGAGTTGGTGATTCCTGTTACTAAAGCCATAGCAGACAGTCAGCCTGGAGTTGGTGATTCCTGTTACTAAAGCCATAGCAGAGTCAGCCTGGAGTTGGTGATCCCTGTTACTAAAGAGAAATGAAACAAGAAATAAAGAAAAACAGAAGAAGAAATTGTGAAGTAATAGCGAACTGTTTGTTTGTGTTGTTTTTTAACTGTTAACACACACACTGACTACACTGAGTGGGGGAGGGAGGGTTGAGGAAGGGGTAAGGACAAGGACAAGGGGGGAGTAAAGCTGGGTCCGTATGAGGTACTGTCACGTCTAATGGAGTTGCTCTGTTTGGTTTTAAGCCGTGTTTGTCTCATTGTCTCTTTGAGCTGTGAGCATTTAACAGAGGGGGACAGGAGTGCTATGTGGACATCTCGCCACTGGACAACATATACTCAGTGTAAACCAAAATATTTTATTTTTCTCTTTAGTTCTCTCTCTCTTACACTCTTTCACACCGTCTTTATACATAAAGGGACACACACACTTCCACAACATGACAATTGTCTTTTTTGTTTGCTTGTATGTGAACTAAATAGGGTCTATACACATTAATACCGATGTGGCCTTTTGTTGTTTGTTTTTAGTCGATTCCTTTTTGTTGTTTTCAGTTTTTTCTTTCCGTTTTCCGTTTTTCTGTCACTTTTTAAGTTAAAAAGGATACAAAGGCAGAATCAAGTAAAAGGGGGCGTGATCGGTCTCCATCTCCATCTCAATAGATCCATCGACCAATCACAATAGTTTTTAAGTTTATTGTTGAGTCTTTCGTCAACCGAACCTCTCCCGTACGAGCATCATGAGTTTCTTCTTGCCCTTGTAGATCTGTTTAAGGTTGTCTATGAACTGTGTGAACTGGATGTGTCCGTCCTGGGCCATGAGGAATGTCTCTCTGGCCTTACTGAGGAACTCTATGAACTCGCTGTAGTGGCGTGGGCTGATGTGTGTGAGGCGAGAGTGCGTAGTGTTGATGTAGGCCCCGATGGTGGCATCCAGCAGCTGCCTAAGCGGAGCCTTGTCCAGCGACATCAGCTTCCCAGAGTTCCTGCGGCTGTGCAGCGCCACCATGCCCGGTGTGGTCAACGTGCACCGTCTCAAAATGTCTGACAGCACCGTGGCGCACTTCACACTCTTCACCACCAGGGGGATGACTGCAGCCAGCTCATTCTTCCCCAGGGAGTGGCTCAGAGCACAGGCCCACAGCACGTCGTTGATAGCCGGGTGGGTATCCTGGTTGTAGCTGAGGTTAAGGTGGGCCATGGCTAACGTGGCCAGTTTGTACGCCCTCATGGGATATCCTCTGTGCTCCATGTACCTGGCTATCGTAAACAGCTGTGTGTAGCTCATCCCCGTGACGGCCGCGTCCAACACGATCTGGTAGGCCGTCTCGAAGGCGATGTGGTCCTTCTCGCAGAGGGTGAGGGCGGAGAGGGCACAGTTCTGGGGGTCCTTCATAGCACACTGCAGGGCCAGGGTCCGGGCGGAGGAGGCCAGGTTCTCCTGCTGGTGACAGTCCAGGTGCAGCCGGACGATGGTGGTGTTGGACATGACGGTGGTGGCCACGATGCTGGTGGCCTCGGTCGGGGTGAACAGGGTGAACCAACTCTGCATGATGCTGTCCAATGCATACACACCTACAGCAGGGGAGAGGGTGGTTAGTTCATGGAAATATATTCTACACACACATACAGTACATCACTCATACACCACAAACAGAATTGACATTATGCACATTGGAAATAGGAACCCATTCAACAACCTACTTTTTTTCCTGCAGCCACAACCCACCAACTGGAAAACGCATTAGAATAGTAACTCACCAACTTCTGTGGCACAGGTGACCAGCCACCGGACCATCTCCCTCCTCCTCCAATTCAACGTGGACAGAGTCATTCTCATCACCTTAAGGGGAGAGAGGAGCAGGTACAGGTTAGGGAGGTGTGTGTGTGTGTGTGTGTGTGTGTGTGTGATATATATATGTGTGTGTGTATGTGTGTGTGTGTATATGTGTGTGTGTGTGTGTGTGATATATATATATATATATATGTGTGTGTGTGTGTATCTATATATATATGTGTGTGTGTGTATAAGTGTGTGTGTGTGTGTGTGTGTGTGTGTGTGTGTATATATACACTACCAGTCAAAAGTTTGGACACACCTACTCTTTCAAGGGTTTTTCTTTATTTTTTACTATTTCTTACATTGTAGAATAATAGTGAAGACATCAAAACTATGAAATAACACATACGGAATCATGTAGTATCCAAACAAGTGTTGAATACTTTTTATATTTGAGATTCTTCAAATAGCCACCCTTTGCCTTGATGACAGCTTTGCACACTCTTGGCATGCTCTCAACCAGCTTCATGAGGTAGTCACCTGGAATACATTTCAATTAACAGGTGTGCCTTCTTAAAAGTTAATTTGTGGAAATTATTTCCTTCTTAACGCATTTGAGCCAATCAGCTGTGTTGTGACAAGGTAGGGGGGTATACAGAAGATAGCCCTATTTGGTAAAAGACCAAGTCCATATTATAGCAAGACCAGCTCAAATAAGCAAAGAGAAACGACAGTCTATCATTACTTTAAGACATGAAGGTCAGTCAATACGGAACATTTCATGAACTTTGAAAGTACCTTCAAGTGCAAACGCAAAAACCATCAAGCGCTATGATGAAACTGGCTCTCATGAGGACCGCCACAGGAAAGGAAGACCCAGAGTTATCTCTGCTGCAGAGGATAAGTTCATTAGAGTTACCAGCCTCAGAAATTGCAGCCCAAATAAATGCTTCACAGAGTTCAAGTCACAGACACATCAACATCAACTGTTCAGAGGGAACTGTGTGAATCAGGCCTTCATGGTCGAAATGCTGCAAAGAAACCACTACTAAAGGACACCAATAAGAAGAAGAGACCTGCTTGGGCCAAGGAACACGAGCAATGGACATTAGACCGGTGGAAATGTGTCCTTTGGTCTGGAGTCCAAATTGGAGATTTTTGGTTCCAACCGCCGTGTCTTTGTGAGACGCGGTGTGGGTGAACGGATGATCTCCACATGTGTAGTTCCCACCGTAAAGCATGGAGGAGGAGGTGTTATGGTGTGGGGGTGCTTTGCTGGTGACACTGTCTTTTATTTATTTAGAATTCAAGGCACTCTTAACCAGCATGGCTACCACAGCATTCTGCAGCAATACGCCATCCCATCTGGTTTGAGCTTAGTGGGACTATCATTTGTTTTTCAACAGGACAATGACCCAACACACCTCCAGGTTGTGTAAGGGCTATTTTAAAGAGAAGGAGAGCGATGGAGTGCTGCATCACATGACCTGGCCTCCACAATCCCCTGACCTCAACCCAATTGAGAATGTTTGGGATGAGTCGGGTGGCAGAGTGAAGGAAAAGCAGTCAACAAGTGCTAAGCATATGTGGGAACCCCTTCAAGACAGTTGGAAAACCATTCCAGGTGAAGCTGGTTGAGAGAATGCCAAGAGTGTGCAAAGCTGTCATCAAGGCAAACGGTGGCTATTTAAAGACTCTAAAATCTAAAATATACAGTGAGGGAAAAAAGTATTTGATCCCCTGCTGATTTTGTACGTTTGCCCACTGACAAAGAAATGATCAGTCTATAATTTTAATGGTAGGTTTATTTGAACAGTGAGAGACAGAATAACAACAAAAAAATCCAGAAAAACGCATGTCAAAAATGTTATAAATTGATTTGCATATTAATGAGGGAAATAAGTATTTGACCCCCTCTCAATCAGAAAGATTTCTGGCTCCCAGGTGTCTTTTATACAGGTAACGAGCTGAGATTAGGAGCACACTCTTAAAGGGAGTGCTCCTAATCTCAGTTTGTTACCTGTATAAAAGACACGTGTCCACAGAAGCAATCAATCAACCAGATTCCAAACTCTCCACCATGGCCAAGACCAAAGAGCTCTCCAAGGATGTCAGGGACAAGATTGTAGACCTACACAAGGCTGGAATGGGCTACAAGACCATCGCCAAGCAGCTTGGTGAGAAGGTGACAACAGTTGGTGCGATTATTCGCAAATGGAAGAAACACAAAAGAACTGTCAATCTCCCTCGTCCTGGGGCTCCATGCAAGATCTCACCTCGTGGAGTTGCAATGATCATGAGAACGGTGAGGAATCAGCCCAGAACTACACGGGAGGATCTTGTCAATGATCTCAAGGCAGCTGGGACCATAGTCACCAAGAAAACAATTGGTAACACACTACGCCGTGAAGGACTGAAATCCTGCAGCGCCCGCAAGGTCCCCCTGCTCAAGAAAGCACATATACAGGGCCGTCTGGAGTTTGCCAATGAACATCTGAATGATTCAGAGGAGAACTGGGTGAAGGTGTTGTGGTCAGATGAGACCAAAATGGAGCTCTTTGGCATCAACTCAACTCGCCATGTTTGGAGGAGGAGGAATGCTGCCTATGACCTCAAGAACACCATCCCCACCGTCAAACATGGAGGTGGAAACATTATGCTTTGGGGGTGTTTTTCTGCTAAGGGGAAAGGGACGATGGACGGGGCCTGCAAAGGGACGATGGACGGGGCCATGTACCGTCAAATCTTGGGTGAGAACCTCCTTCCCTCAGCCAGGGCATTGAAAATGGGTCGTGGATGGTATTCCTGCATGACAAATACCCAAAACACACGGACAAGGCAACAAAGGAGTGGCTCAAGAAGAAGCACATTAAGGTCCTGGAGCGGCCTAGCCAGTCTCCAGACTTTAATCCCATAGAAAATCTGTGGAGGGAGCTGAAGGTTCGAGTTGCCAAACGTCAGCCTCAAAATCTTAATGACTTGGAGAAGATCTGCAAAGAGGAGTGGAACAAAATCCCTCCTGAGATGTGTGCAAACCTGGTGGCCAACTACAACAAACATCTGACCTCTGTGATTGCCAACAAGGGTTTTGCCACCAAGTACTAAGTCATGTTTAGCAGAGGGGTCAAATACTTATTTCCCTCATTAAAATGCAAATCAATTTATAACATTTTTGACATGCGTTTTTCTGGATTTTGTTGTTGTTATTCTGTCTCTCACTGTTCAAATAAACCTACCATTAACATTATAGACTGATCATGTCTTTGTCAGTGGGCAAATGTACAATATTTTCCTTCATTGTATTTTGATTCATTAAATAGTACCCGCAAAACACCAGTCTCAACGTCAACAGTGAAGAGGCGACTCCGGATGCTGACCTTCTATGCAGAGTTGCAAAGAAAAAGCCATATCTCAGACTGCCCATCTTAATCTTTTCTTTTTATTGGCCAGTCTGAGATATGGCTTTTTCTTTGCAACTCTGCCTAGAAGGTCAGCATTCCGGAGTCGCCTCTTCACTGTTGAGACTGGTGTTTTGTGGGTACTATTTAATGAAGCTGCCAGTTGAGGACCTGTGAGGCGTCTGTTTCTCAAACTAGACACTAATGTATTTGTCCTCTTGCTCAGTTGTGCACCGGGGCCTCCCACTCCTCTTTCTATTCTGGTTAGAGACAGTTTGCGCTGTTCTGTGAAGGGAGTAGTACACAGCGTTGTACGAGATCTTCAGTTTCTTGGCAATTTCTCGCATGGAATAGCCTTCATTTCTCAGAACAAGAATAGACTGACGAGTTTCAGATGAAAGTTCTTTGTTTCTGGCCATTTTGAGCCTGTAATCAAACCCACAATTGCTGATGCTCCAGATACTCAACTAGTCTCAAGAATGCCAGTTTTATCGCTTCTTTAATCAGCACAACAGTTTTCAGCTGTGCTAACATAATTGCAAAAGGGTTTTCTAATGATCAATTAGCCTTTTAAAATGATAAACTTGGATTAGCAAACACAACGTGCCATTGGAACACAGGACTGATGGTTGCTGATAATGGGCCTTTGTACGCCTATGTAGATATTCCATTAAAAATCAGCCGTTTCCAGCTACAATAGCCATTTACAACATTAACAATGTCTAAACTGTATTTCTGATCAATTTGATGTTATTTTAATGACAAAAAAAATGCTTTTCTTTCAAAAACTAGGACATTTCTAAGTGACCACAAACTTTTGAACATTAGTGTATATGTATGTATGTGTGTGTGTATATGTATATATGTGTGTGGGTGTGTATATGTATATGTGTGGGTGTGTATATGTATATGTGTGTGTATGTATGTATATATATGTGTGTGTGTGTATTTGTATATGTACAGTTCTGGAAAAAAATTAAGAGACCACTGCAAATGTTTCTTAAATCAGCATCTCTACATGTATAACAGCCATTCCATTCCAGTGTCCGTTGAATTCCAACACAGGCACACCTCATTCTACTGAATTAGGTACTGATTAGGTGATCACCTGAACCAAATCTTATTTTTAACAAGAAAAAGTATAAAAACCACTACTGTGGTCGTCTCAATCCTCTTGCAATAGGACCAAAAACAGTGCTAATAGTACCTCAAAAGTAATATTAATCAAAAAATAACTATTGACCATGCCAAAAGAGTTGAAAAGGAAAGTTCTGAGTGAGGAAAAGAAGGGTTCAATTCTGGATTTACTGGCAGAGGGATACAGTGAGCGTCAGGTCGCTTCCATCCTTAAAATTTCAAAGACGGCGGTTCATAAGAACAAGGTCAAGCAGCAGACATTGGGGACAACAAAGCTACAGACCGGCAGAAGGCGAAAACGACTCTCTACTGACCGGGATGACCGCCAACACATTCGAATGTCACTCAACAACCGTAGGATGACATCAAGTGACCTACAAAAAGAATGGCAAACGGCAGCTGGGGTGAAGTGCACGGCGAGGACGGCTCGAAACAGGCTCCTAGGGGCAGGGCTGAAGTCGTGCAAAGCTAGAAAAAAGCCCTTCATCAATGAGAAGCAAAGAAGAGCCAGACTGAGGTTTGCAAAATACCATAAGGATTGGACCGTAGAGGACTGGAGTAAGGTCATCTTCTCTGATGAGTCCAATTTTCAGCTTTGCCCAACACCTGGTCGTCTAATGGTTAGACAGAGACCTGGAGAAGCCTACAAGCCACAGTGTCTCGCACCCACTGTGAAATTTGGTGGAAGATCGGTGATGATCTGGGGGTGCTTCAGCAAGGCTGGAATCGGGCAGATTTGTCTTTGTGAAGGACGCATGAATCAAGCCACATACAAGGTTGTCCGGGAAGAAAACTTGCTTCCTTTTGCTCTGACATTGTTCCCCAACTCTGAGGATTGGTTTTTCCAGCAGGACAATGCGACATGCCACACAGCCAGGTCAATCAAGGTGTGGATGGAGGACCACCAGATCAAGACCCTGTCATGGCCAGCCCAATCTCCAGACCTGAACCCCATTGAAAACTTCTGGAATGTGATCAAGAGGAAGATGGATGGTCACAAGCCATCAAACAAAGCCGAGCTGCTTGAATTTTTGCGCCAGGAGTGGCATAAAGTCACCCAACATCAATGTGAAAGACTGGTGGAGAGCATGCCAAGACGCATGAAAGCTGTGATTGAAAATCAGGGTTATTCCACCAAATATTGATTTCTGAACTCTTCCTAAGTTAAAACATTAGTATTGTGTTGTTTAAAAATGAACATGAACTTATTTTCTTTGCATTATTCGAGGTCTAACAACACTGCATCTTTTTTGGAATTTTGACCAGTTTTCATTTTCTGCAAATAAATGCTCTAAATGACAATATTTCTATTTGGAATTTGGGATAAATGTTGTTAGTAGTTTATAGAATAAAACAAAAATGTTAATTTCACCCAAACACATACCTATAAATATTAAAACCAGAGAAACCTATATTTTTGCAGTGGTCTCTTAATTTTTTCCAGAGCTGTATATGTGTGTGTGTGTGTGTGTGTGTGTGTGTGTATGTAAATGTGTGTGTGTGTGTATATATATATATATATATATATATGTATGTGTGTGTGTGTGTGTGTGTGTGTGTGTGTGTGTGTGTATGTGTGTATATGTTTGTTACCTGAAGGCCCAGCTCCAGAGAGACCTTGAGCAGTGTGAGGTCTGGCAGGCTGTCCATCAGAGTAGCGATCTTGAAGGCGTCCTGAGCCAGTTTGAAGATGTGAGATGAGGAGTGGATGTTCTTCTGGATGGACTCTAACACTGTTTCTAACTTCCGCCCATCACCTGAGATACAAAAACACCATTTAAAACCACCTATTTGCATTAACATTATTGCCTGAGCATGTGTGTTTGTAAATACAGTACGATGTGTGTGTGTTTGTACAGTGTGTGTGTGTGTGTTTGTACATACAGTGTGTGTGTGTGTGTGTGTGTACCTTTGGCTGCGGTGAGCATGGTGGAGGCCAGTTCACATTGTTGTGACTCTATATGAGACAGAGTGAACCAGCGAGGGTAGCGGTTAGGGACCATAGACACTATATGGTGAGGTCTGGACAGATCACCTGATGGAGCCATGGTTTCCAGGACCGGTAACCTAAAGACACATTTAATACATTGATGTTTAATATGACTGTTTTACTTCTAATAAGGATGCATGGGCCTTTAAGATGTCTTCTAAGGCTTATGGATAATCCCTCTGTCTCTCGCCAAGATTCAGTACTTCTGTTAACCCCTTAAAGATTGGACCCTTTTTTCCCATTTTCGCCTAAAATGACATACCCAAATCTAACTGCCTGTAGCTCAGGACCTGAAGCAAGGATATGCATATTCTTGATACCATTTGAAAGGAAACACTTTGAAGTTTGTGGAAATGTGAAATTAATGTAGGAGAATATAACATATTAGATCTGGTAAAGATAATACAAAACAAAAAAATGTGTTTTCTATTTTTGTTTATTTTTATGATAGGCTGGTATCCCCTGCAGCAGAGGTAACTCTGGGTCTTCCTTTCCTGTGGCGGTCCTCATGAGAGCCAGTTTCATCATAGCACTTCATGAAATGTTCCGTATTGACTGACCTTCATGTCTTAAAGTAATGATGGACTGTCGTTTCTCTTTGCTTATTTCAGCTGTTCTTGCCATAATATGGACTTGGTCTTTTACCAAATAGGGCTATCTTCTGTATACCCCCTTACCTTGTCACAACACAACTGATTGGCTCAAATGCATTAAGAAGGAAAGAAATCCCACAAATTAACTTTTAAGAAGGAACACCTGTTAATTTAAATGCATTCCAGGTGACTACCTCATGAAGCTGGTTGAGAGAATGCCAAGAGTGTGCAAAGCTGTCATCAAGGCAAAGGGTGGTTATTTGAAGAATCTCAAATATAAAATATATTTTGATTTGTTTAACACTTTTTTGGTTACTACATGATTCCATATGTGTTATTTCATAGTTTTGATGTCTTCACTATTATTCTCTGATGTAAAAAATATTAAAAATAAAGAAAAAAAACTCTTGAATGAGTAGGTGTGTCCAAACTTTTGACTGGTAGTGTACACACATACAGTGCCATCGGAAAGCATTCAGACCACTTTACTTTTTCCACATTTTGTTAGGTTACAGCCTTATTCTAAAATTGATTAAATTGTTTTTTCCCCCCCTCATCAATCTACACAAAATACCCCATAATGACAAAGCAAAAACAGGTTTTTCAAAAATGTTTGCTAATTTATATTTTAAAATAATAATAATAATTTACATACAGTGAGGGAAAAAAGTATTTGATCCCCTGCTGATTTTGTACGTTTGCCCACTGACAAAGAAATGATCAGTCTATAATGTTAATGGTAGGTTTATTTGAACAACAAAAAAATCCAGAATAACGCATGTCAAAAATGTTATAAATTGATTTGCATTTTAATGAGGGAAATAAGTATTTGACCCCTCTGCTAAACATGACTTAGTACTTGGTGGCAAAACCCTTGTTGGCAATCACAGAGGTCAGACGTTTCTTGTAGTTGGCCACCAGGTTTGCACACATCTCAGGAGGGATTTTGTCCCACTCCTCTTTGCAGATCTTCTCCAAGTCATTAAGGTTTCGAGGCCGACATTTGGCAACTCGAACCTTCAGCTCCCTCCACAGATTTTCTATGAGATTAAGGTCTGGAGACTGGCTAGGCAACTCCAGGACCTTAATGTGCTTCTTCTTGAGCCACTCCTTTGTTGCCTTGGCCGTGTGTTTTGGGTCATTGTCATGCTGGAATACCCATCCACTAACCATTTTCAATGCCCTGGCTGAGGGAAGGAGGTTCTCACCCAAGATTTGACGGTACATGGCCCCGTCCATCGTCCCTTTGATGCGGTGAAGTTGTCCTGTACCCTTAGCAGAAAAACACCCCCAAAGCATAATGTTTCCACCTCCATGATTGACGGTGGGGATGGTGTTTTTGGGGTCATAGGCAGCATTCCTCCTCCTCCAAACATGGCGAGTTGAGTTGATGCCAAAGAGCTAAATTTTGGTCTCATCTGACCACAACACTTTCACCCAGTTCTCCTCTGAATCATTCAGATGTTCATTGGCAAACTTCAGACGGGCATGTATATGTGCTTTCTTGAGCAGGGGGACCTTGCGGGCGCTGCAGGATTTCAGTCCTTCATAGCGTAGTGTGTTACCAATTGTTTTCTTGGTGACTATGGTCCCAGCTGCCTTGAGATCATTGACAAGATCCTCCCGTGTAGTTCTGGGCTGATTCCTCACCGTTCTCATGATCATTGCAGCTCCACGAGGTGAGATCTTGCATGGAGCCCCAGGACGAGGGAGATTGACAGTTCTTTTGTGTTTCTTCCATTTGCGAATAATCGCACCAACTGTTGTCACCTTCTTACCAAGCTGCTTGGCGATGGTCTTGTAGCCCATTCCAGCCTTGTGTAGGTCTACAATCTTGTCCCTGACTTGGAGAGCTCTTTGGTCTTGGCCATGGTGGAGAGTTTGGAATCTGGTTGATTGATTGCTTCTGTGGACAGGTGTCTTTTATACAGGTAACAAACTGAGATTAGGAGCACTCCCTTTAAGAGTGTGCTCCTAATCTCAGCTCGTTACCTGTATAAAAGACACCTGGGAGCCAGAAATCTATCTGATTGAGAGGGGGTCAAATACTTATTTGCCTCATTAAAATGCAAATCAATTTATAACATTTTTGACATGCGTCTTTCTGGATTTTTTTGTTGTTATTCTGTCTCTCACTGTTCAAATAAACCTACTATTAAAATTATAGACTGATCATTTCTTTGTCAGTGGGCAAACGTACAAAATCAGCAGGGGATCAAATACTTTTTTCCCTCACTGTAAGTATTCAGACCCTTTACTCAGTACTTTGTTGAAGCACCTTTGACAGCGATTACAGCCTTGAGACTTCTTGGGTATGACGCTACAAGCTTGGCACACGTGTATTTGGGGAGTTTCTCCGATTCTTCTCTGCAGATCCTCTCAAGCTCTTTCAGGTTGGATGGGGAGCGTTGCTGCACAGCTATTTTCAGGTCTCTCCAAAGATGTTCGATCGGGTTCAAGTCCGGGCTCTGGCTGGGCCACTCAAGGACATTCAGAGACTTGTCCCGAAGCCACTCCTGCGTTGTCTTGGCTGTGTGCTTAGGGTCGTTGTCCTGTTGTAAGGTGAACCTTCGCCCCAATCTGAGGTCCTGAGCATTCTGGAGCAGGTTTTCATCAAGGATCTCTCTGTACTTTGCTCCGTTCATCTTTGCCTTGATCCTGACTAGTCTCCCAGTCCCTGCCGCTGAAAAACATCCCCACAGCATGATGCGGTCACCATCATGCTTCACTGTAGGGATGGTGCCAGGTTTCCTCCAGACGTGACACTTGGCATTCAGGCCAAAGAGTTCAATCTCGGTTTCATCAGACCAGAGAATCTTGTTTCTCATGGTCAGAGTCCTTTAGGTGCCTTTTGGCAAACTCCAAGCGGGCTGTCATATACCTTTTACTGAGGAGTGGCTTCCGTCTGGCCACTCTACCATAAAGGCCTGATTGATGGAGTGCTGCAGAGATGGTTGTCCTTCTGGAAGGTTCTCCCATCTCCACAGAAGAACTCTAGAGCTCTGTCAGAGTGACCATCGGGTTCTTGGTCACCTCCCTGACCAAGGCCCTTCTCCCCAGATTGCTCAGTTTGGCCGGGCGACCAGCTCTAGGAAGAGTCTTGGTGGTCTAAACTTCTTCAATTTAAGAATGATGGAGGCCACTGTGTTCTTGGGGACCTTCAATACTGCAGAAATGTTTTGGTACCCTTCCCCAGATCTGTGCCTCGACACAATCCTGTCTCGGAGCTCTACGGACAATTCCTTCGACCTCATGGCTTGGTTTTTGCTCTGACATGCACTGTCAACTGTGGGACCTTATATAGACAGGTGTGTGCCTTTTCAAATCATGTCCAATCAATTGAATTTACCACATGTGGACTCCAATCAAGTTGTAGAAACATCTCAATGATTGATCAATGGAAATAGGATGCACCGGAGCTCAATTTCGAGTCTCATAGCAAAGGGTCTTAATACTTATTTAAATAAGGTATTTGTTTGTTTTTATACATTTGCTAAAATTTCAAAAAATCTGTTTTTGCTTTGTCATTATGGGGTATTGTGTGTAGATTGCTGAGGATTTTTGTATTTTTTTATCCATTTTAGAATAAGGCTGTAACATAACAAAATGTGGAAAAAGTCAAGGGGTCTGAATACTTTCCGAAGGCACTGCGCGCATGCGCACACACACATACATTACTGTATTATTCAAACATTCTCCTGAACTCATTTTTAGTGCTGTTTAATTATTTAACAAGGATTCCAGCGAAAGGGAGTTTTGTGATTAAACAGCACCCAGGATAGCTTCCTGTCTCTTCACATCACACATAGACATGCAGACACACATAATTTGAGACTCAAAGGAGGCTGAGCAACTTTGTTAACTGAAGTTCAATGTTCTTTTCTGATATAGGTTTGTGTGTGTGTGTGTGTGTGTGTGTTTTGTACTCACCTCATGGCTCTCAGTGCAATTTTGTACGCCAGTTCAGCGTCGTGAGGTAGTAGGGAGGTGAAGAGATACTTGGCGAAGGTATGCATGGGAACACTCTCTCTGTAGAGCAACTCTCCTAGACCACTGTATGGTCCAGCTACAGGAGACAGAATACAGGGTTAGGGAGTAGGGAGAGAGACAGAGTGTGTGTGTGTGTGTGCACGCGTGCACATCTCCCCCTCACCCTCTAGCAGGAAGACTGCTTGCTTGCGGAAGATCTTGACCAGCGTGTCGTTCAGTTCCACTTCCTGGAGCTTAGCCAATAGCTGCTCTTCGTTGCGACACACCTTCTCCTGGGCATATAGGCCGTCGGGCATCACCCTCTGCTGCCCTAAGCCAATCAGCGCCGTCTCTACAGCCAGTGCTATGAACGATTGGCCATCGTCCAGGAAGTGATGCACTGGGAAGAGGTGAGGCTCCGACCTTTTGGCTGAACTCACAGAGCCTGGAGAGCGAAAGAAAGAAAGAAGAGAGATCACATAAAAAAACAGCATGTCTTTGAAATGTTGTCACCAAATCTAACAGAGTGAAACAGTAAGGTTGTGGATCAATCTGTGTCACATTCAATACAGTAAGGTTGTGGATCAATCGGTGTCCGATTCAATACAGCAAGGTTATTATAGTAAAATAAATCCGAAACTAACCATGAAAAAAACATTTTTGGCAACTAAAATAAAAAATAATTAACAAATCCGTTTGAAAAAAACTAAAACTATACTGAAACTATTATCTTTGACTAAAAAATGAACTAAAATCAAATAAAAACCATCTTGAATTATGTTCAGTTTTAGTTTTGGGGGGTTTTCAAGCTTTTCTTTCTAATGGGGTTTTCAAGCTTCTGAATCTGGTGGGGCACATTGAGATTGACTTTATAATTTAAAGGTAGACTCAGCGAGATGACAAGCAGCATCGCAGAGATTGAGCACGTTTGAGTGGTAAGGCTAAAGAAACCAACTGTAGACAAAAGTCAAGGAGCGAAGTCGGGGGAGGTGCTTCTGCAACAGTCGGACACTAATGTGGTTTTCTAACAGCAAGGTTCAGATCAACATGGCAGTGTTGCCATTGTTTATAAAAGGTTTTCTTTATAATGTCAAAATAAACATGTATCTAACCACCATATCACACTCATAAACTGAAATCATAATATAAGATTATGCGTGTACACATTGCAGAATCAATTAGAAAGCCTCAAATCACATTTATTTGTATATATTCACTGTACACATAAATTACGGAAAATTAGTTATTGTTTCAGTCATGTGTTTGGTCACGTTCGCGTGGGTCAAACAAAAACACCCTAATGATTGGTTGACAATAGAGCCTCCCACAATTCAGGCGATGGCTGCAGGATGAAGTCAGTGAGGAGCAACTGCAGAAACATACAGTCGACTGCAGTCAAAACATCCCCTTTGATCACATCATTTTTATAAAGTTCATGCAATCCACATATCAGACAATTTTTCCCCCAGAATGCAACACACTTTGAAAGGCCCCGACTTGACAAAATGATCTGCTCTAATGTGTCTATTGAGATGAGCACGATGCAGACTGCTCTCACACGGTCACACCGAGTATCTGCGCATGTGCACCGGTGCGCTTCACGCTGCTACAACGTGGTAGCTACGGGACGAAAACAGTGAAGAAGTTTAGCTTTGCACTTCAACGCTCCTGGTTGTTGACCCACTACTACTGTTTACTTCATGCATATACGTCATCTCACTGAGTCTACCTTTAAACCTAACCTACGACCTGACCCATCACCTTATGCTTTACTGCCCCACAGTGGCAACAAGTGACATACCCCAACAAACAGTGTATTGCATAGGCTTAGGCTTCTTTCTGCCACTAACATAAAAACTAAAACTAAAATTATATAAAAACAAAACTAAATTGATTTTATAAAACTTTAACTAAATAAAAACAAAGAAAGTGGATCTGAAAACAAACGAAAACTAAACTGAATTTCAACTAAAATCTTAAAACTAATAGAAATAAAAACTAATATAAAAATACAAAACTATAATAACCTGGCAATACAGTCACCTCCATTATCATGAAAATAGCTCTGTGCTGTCCCAGAACACTAAAACATGCAATTTCAGTCATGCAGAGCTACTGGGTGTCCAGGCGCTAGTTTTCACCCCTGCACCAACACACCAGATTCAAATAGTCAACGGATATGGTCTACAGTCCGCACCAAAATGACTGTTATTTCAACCAAGGCCAAAGTCTCTTAGGGCTTCACAATGATCAATGTTTGATGTGCTGGTTCCTTAATTGAGATATATACACTGAACAAAAATATAAACGCAACATGAAAAGTGTTTGTCCCATGTTTTATGAGCTGATATAAAAGATCCCAGAAAAATAAGCTTATTTCGCTCAAATTCTGTGCACAAATTAGTTTACATCCCTTTTAGTGAGCATTTCACCATTGCCAAGATAATCCATCCACTTGACAGGTGTGCATATCAAGAAGCTGATTAAACGGCATGATCATTACACAGGTGCACCTTGTGCTGGGGACAATAAAAGGCCACTCTAAAATATGAAGTTTTGTCACAACACAATCCCACAGATGTCTCAAGATTTAAGGGAGCTTGCAATTGGCATGCTGACTGCAGGAATGTCCACCAGAGTTGTTACCAGAGAATTTAATGTTAATTTCTCTACCATAAGCCACCTCCAACGTCGTTTTAGAGAATTTGGCAGTACGTCCAACCGGCTTCACAACCACAGACCACGTGTATGGCGTTGTGTGGGCGAGCGGTTTGCTGATATCAATGTTGTGAACAGAGTGCCCCATGGTGGCGGTGGGGTTATGGTATGGGCAGGCAGGCATAAGCTACGGACAACGAACACAATTGCATTTTATCGATTGCAATTTGAGATACTGTGACGGGATCCTGAGGCCCATTGTCATGCCATTCATCCGCCGCCATCACCTCATGTTTCAGCAAGATAATGCAAGGCCCCATGTCGCAAGGATCTGTACACATTTCCTGGAAGCTGAAAATGACCTGGTTCTTCCATGGCCTGCATACTAACCCTAACACCAGGCATGTCACCCATTGAGAATATTTGGGATGCTCCGGATCGACGTGTATGACAGCGTGTTCCAGTTCCCTCCAATATCCAACGACTTCGCAAAGCCATTGAAGAGGAGTGGGACAACATTCCACAGGCCACAATCAATAGCCTGATCAACTCTATGCGAAGGAGATGTGTTGCACTGCATGAGGTTCATGGTGGTCACACCAGATACTGACTGTTTTTCTGATCCACGCCCCTACATTTTGTTTTAAGGTATCTGTGACCAACAGATGCATATCTGTATTCCCAGTCATGTAAAATCCATAGATTAGGGCCTAATGAATTTATTTCAATTGACTGATTTCCTTACATGAACTGTAACTCAGTAAAATCTTTGAAATTGTTGCATGTTGCGTTTATTTATATATATATATATATCACAACCAGTCAAAAGTTTGGACACACCTACTCATTCAAGGGTTTTTCTTTATTTTTACTATTTTTTACATTGTAGAATAACAGTGAAGACATCAAAACTATGAAATAACACATATGAAATCATGTAGTACCCAGAAAAGTGTTAAACAAATCCAAATATATTTTATATTTGAGATTCTTCAAAGTAGCCACTAATTGCCAAGATGACAGCTTTGACCACTCTTGGCATTCTCTCAACCAGCTTCATGAGATAGTCACCTGGAATGCATTTCAATTAACAGGTGTGCCTTCTTAAAAAGTTAATTTGTGGAATTTCTTTCCTTCTTAATGCATTTGAGCCAATCAGTTGTGTTGTGACAGGGTAGGTGGGGTATACAGAAGATAGTCCTATCTGGTAAAAAACCAAGTCCATATTATGGCAAGAACAGCTTAAATAAGCAAATAGAAACAACAGTCCATCATTACTTTAAGACATGAAGGTCAGTCAATACAGAACATTTTAAGAACTTTTAAAGTTTCTTCAAGTGCAGTTGCAAAAACCATCAAGCGCTATGATGAAACTGGCTCTCATGAGGACCGCCAAAGGAATGGAAGACCCAGAGTTACCTCTGCTGCAGAGGATAAGTTCATTAGTTACCAGCCTCAGATAATGCAGCCCAAATAAATGCTTCACAGAGTTCAAGTAACAGACACATCTCAACATCACTTTGTGAATCAGGCCTTCATGGTCGAATTGATGCAAAGAAACCACTACTAAAGGACACCAATAATAAGAAGAGACTTGCTTGGACCAAGAAACACGGTCAATGGACATTAGACCGGTGGAAATGTGTACTTTGGTCTGGAGTCCAAATTGGAGAATTTTGGTTCAAACCGCCGTGTCTTTGTGAGACACGGTGTGGGTGAAAGGATGATTTCTGCTTGTGTAGTTCCCACCGTGAAGCATGGAGGAGGAGGTATTATGGAGTGGGGGTGCTTTGCTGGTGACACTGTCTGTGATTTATTTAGAATTCAAGGCACACTTAACCAGCATGGCTACCACAGCATTCTACAGTGATACGCCATCCCATCTGGTTTGGGCTTAGTGAGACTATAATTTGCTTTCAACAGGACAATGACCCAACACACCTCCAGGCTGTGTAAGGGCTATTTTACCAAGAAGGAGAGTGATTGAGTGCTGCATCAGATGACCTGGCCTCCACAATCCCCCGACCTCAACCCAATTGAGATGGTTTGGGATGAGTCGGACAGCAGAGTGAAGGAAAAGCAGCCAACAAGTGCTCAGCATATGTGGGAACTCCTTCAAGACTGTTGGAAAAGCATTCCAGGTGAAGCTGGTTGGGAGAATGCCAAGAGTGTGCAGAGCTGTCATCAAGGCAAAGGGTGGCTACTTTGAAGAATCCAAATATAAAATGTATTTTGATTTGTTTAACAATTTTTTGGTTACTACATGATTCCATATGTGTTATTTCATAGTTTTCATGTCTTCACTATTATTCTACGATGTAAAAAAGAGTAAAAATAAAGAAAAACCATTAGTAGGTGTGTCCAAATCTTTGACTGGTACTATATATATATGTAGCCTGCTCAAAAAAATAAAGGGAACACTAAAATAACACATCCTAGATCTGAATGAATGAAATAATCTTATTAAATACTTTTTTCTTTACATAGTTGAATGTGCTGACAACAAAATCACACAAAAATTATCAATGGAAATCAAATGTATCAACCCATGGAGGTCTGGATTTGGAGTCACACTCAAAATTAAAGTGGAAAACCACACTACAGGCTGATCCAACTTTGATGTAATGTCCTTAAAACAAGTCAAAATGAGGCTCAGTAGTGTGTGTGGCCTCCACGTGCCTGTATGACCTCCCTACAACGCCTGGGCATGCTCCTGATGAGGTGGCGGATGGTCTCCTGAGGGATCTCCTCCCAGACCTGGACTAAAGCATTCGCCAACTCCTGGACAGTCTGTGGTGCAACGTGGCGTTGGTGGATGGAGCGAGACATGATGTCCCAGATGTGCTCAATTGGATTCAGGTCTGGGGAACGCATCATAGTCCATAGCATCAATGCCTTCCTCTTGCAGGAACTGCTGACACACTCCAGCCACATGAGGTCTAGCATTGTCTTGCATTAGGAGGAACCCAGGGCCAACCGCACCAGCATATGGTCTCACAAGGGGTCTGAGGATCTCATCTCGGTACCTAATGGCAGTCAGGCTACCTCTGGCGAGCACATGGAGGGCTGTGCGGCCCCCCAAAGAAATGCCACCCCACACCATGACTGACCCACCGCCAAACCGGTCATGCTGGAGGATGTTGCAGGCAGCAGAACATTCTCCACGGTGTCTCCAGACTCTGTCACGTCTGTCACGTGCTCAGTGTGAACCTGCTTTCATCTGTGAAGAGCACAGGGCGCCAGTGGCGAATTTGCCAATCTTGGTGTTCTCTGGCAAATGCCAAACGTCCTGCACGGTGTTGGGCTGTAAGCACAACCCCCACCTGTGGACGTCGGGCCCTCATACCACCTGACCGTCTGAGCAGACACATGCACATTTGTGGCCTGCTGGAGGTCATTTTGCAGGGCTCTGGCAGTGCTCCTCCTGCTCCTCCTTGCACAAAGGCGGAGGTAGCGGTCCTGCTGCTGGATTGTTGCCCTCCTACGGCCTCCTCCACGTCTCCTGATGTACTGGCCTGTCTCCTGGTAGCACCTCCATGCTCTGGACACTACGCTGACAGACACAGAAAACCTTCTTGCCACAGCTCGCATTGATGTGCCATCCTGGATGAGCTGCACTACCTGAGCCACTTGTGTGGGTTGTAGACTCCGTCTCATGCTACCACTAGAGTGAAAGCACCGCCAGCATTCAAAAGTGACCAAAACATCAGCCAGGAAGCATAGGAACTGAGAAGTGGTCTGTGGTCACCACCTGCAGAACCACTTCTTTATTGGGGGTGTCTTGCTAATTGCCTATTATTTCCACCTGTTGTCTATTCCATTTGCACAACAGCATTTGACATTTATTGTCAATCAGTGTTGCTTCCTAAGTGGCAGTTTGATTTCACAGAAGTGTGATTGACTTGGAGTTACATTGTGTTGTTTAAGTGTTCCCTTTATTTTTTTGAGCAGTGTATATATATATATACACACACACACACACACACAAAAGTTTGGACACACCTACTCATTCAAGGGTTTTTCTTTATTTTTACACTGTAGAATAATAGTGAAGACATCAAAACTATGAAATAACACATATGGAATCATGTAGTAACCAAAAAAGTGTTAAACAAATCAAAATATATTTTAGATTTTAGATTCTTCAAAGTAGCCACCCTTTGCCTTGATGACAGCTTTGCACACTCTGACAGAACTGATCACACCCAATCATCACTGATGACATCACTGATTTCTTCCTCAGCAATCCTCCAATCACAGCTCATTGAATAAGAGATGGAGTAGAAAAAAAAAAGAATGTAAAATTCCAATGCATTAAATATGCAGGAGCGAGAGAAAGTGTGTACCTGAGAAGTCTAGGAAGGCGTTGCCCCCCTCCTCGTCTCCCCGACCCGTGTCCAGCAGGGTGCTGAACAGAGTGCCTATAGGGTCCAGGGGGTGGCCCACCCAGCCCTCCATGTTAGTGACTGATGTCATGCCTTTATGGAGCAGCTCTGGAGAGGACACAGACCACACACTGTTATTACACTGTTATTACTCCATTTACACAGTTAATACGCTGTTAATACACTGCTAATACACTGTTAACTCTATTTACACAGTTAATATACTTTTACTCTGTATTTACATGTTAGTACACAGCCAATACACTGTTAGTACATTGATATTACAGTTTATATACTGCTATTACAGTTAGTACACTGGTATTATATTGTTAACATACAGGTACAGACAGAGACAGGAAAGAGAGTGAGGCCGTCCTTTAATGAAAACAGTATAAATGAATAGATGAAAGAACTAACAGACCTTTTTTGAGGCTGCGGAGGAGCTGTAGTTGTTTCTGTTGCTGCCGTTTGAGTGTGTTGACAATAGCAATGGCCAATCGCAAGGCTTCTCTGGGATAACCATGTGACCGCAGCGCGTCAACCCTCGCACACGCTGTAGGGACGTGCTCTGCAAGATGGAGGGGAGGGGGGATTTCAATAGACTAGCAAAACCAAAGCGACTTCAACTAAAAATGGCCTTCCCTCCCCTCCTTTGCTTTCGTCATTGTCAACACAAACACACACACTCACCGTGCCAGAGGGGCCAGCCGCTGGTGTCAAACAGTGCCCCTCCACTTCCGTGGTTGTCGTGGGGACAGTGTGAGTGTGTGTGTGTGTAGAGGTCATGTGTGATGATGCGCTGCAGATGTGTGTCCTGCCAGTGCAGGTCACAGGCCTCGATGGCCCTCGTAAACACTGTCCTGTGAGGACGAGACGACAAGTCTGGGAGAGAGGGAGAGAGAGAGGGATGAGGGTGGGTAGAAAAAGGGAGAGAAAGAAGAGGACAATGTGAGAAGTTATTAGAAAAGGTTGCTTTGATTAGCCACCTAAAGCTAAAGCTTCCTGGGTGAAATGCTTATTCACTGCACTGTTCCTATTCAGAAGCCTGATATAAATGTTTAAAGGGTTATTGGGCTTATTCCATCAGACACAGAGAAACGAAAAAGAACAGCTCGCAGGGCAGAGACATGGAGAGAGAGAGAGTTGATTAAAAGACAGGCATGGAGACAGATAGAGCGAGGGATCAACAGAGAGAAAAGAGAAAATGATTAAAAGAAGGGGGTATTTTCTCACACACGCTCAGTGTGGCGGTCCCACCTGGGTGGCTGGGGCGCCCTGAGGCAGTGTGTTGGTCAGGTGTGTGTGTGTATATGTTTGTCTGTCTGTGTGTGTGTTTTCTCACCTGGGTTGCCGTGCGGTAGTGCGTGTGTGAGGTTGGGTAGTTCGTTGCCGTGGTTTCCGTCCTCCCATGGACACACATCGACGCTGTTCCACCGTCTCAGCTGTCTCAGCCACACACACTTCTGCTCCGACTTACAGTGGGGGTTCAGCACAATACACATCCACAGGGTACCTACACACACAAAGGATGTTTCTGTCATTATTATTCATCCTTGAATCATGTCATTTGATTCTGTGAAAAGGGAAAAATAGATGCCATTAAAACGTTTTGGACCATCAGCAGTCTCTGTCACCGTTATCTTTTCAATAAACACATGCCTGTCTGCCACACACACACACTCTAGTGACACTTTGATTACCTGAAGCATGAGCTGAAAGGGAGATGGGGTATGTATGAAGGGAGAGAGGGAAGGAGAGAAGCAGAGGAAAGGAGAGAGATTTAGAGAGTAGACCGAAGGCATTAAAAATAAATATGCAGAAAAAATAGAGAAAAATAGAGACAATTATGAAAAATTAACAAGGAACAGAAAGAGAGGAAAGAATGAGACAGGAGAAGGAGAGAGAGGTGAAGCTAGAGAACAGGAGGAGAGGGGGATGAGATAGGAAGGAGGGAAGGAAGGAAGAGGGGGGAGGGGACAGGAGTCACTTTATCCTCTGTCTTTGTTTGCATGGCATCAAGGACAACAGAAGGAAGAGAGAGGAGAGGAGAGGAGAGGAGAGGAGAGGAGAGGAGAGGAGAGGAGAGGAGAGGAGAGGAGAGGAGAGGAGAAGGAAAAGGAGGGAGTGAAGAAGAGGAAAAGACAAAGGGAAGAGGAGAATGTGCATCCTTCAAGCAGGAGGAACATTAAATCATCCAGAAATAAGAGATGAACTCCCCTTTAAAACAGAAAGAGAGAAAGAAACAACCACCAAAACAGACAAAGAGAATGGGGGGATATATAATACAGTTCCAACAATCAACTACCATGACAACAGGGTTGTGGTTATGGGATGTTGTTGCTAGGGTAGGTTACTATTGGATGTTGTTGCTAGGCTAGGGTTGAGTTCTATGGGATCTGGTTACTAGACTAGGGTCTATCTAGACTCTCCCCTGATTACACACACTAACGTGGAATAATCAATAAAGCTGCAGTTTGGCTTTCCTGCTTATCCTGAATATGGACAGTGTAGTGTTCCATGTTCACACACACACAGCTACGTCAGCTGTGGTTCATTTTGAAAGAGGAAAGGAGGAATCGAGGAGAGGGAGACTACATAAACACATTCATCACAAATACATGTTCCACTGTACATCCAGTGGTCTCCTTTAACTGGCTGGCAGGCTGGCTGGAAGGCACACATACGGATATCAGCAGTGAGAAATCATGGCTTATATTTCTCCCCCCTCTCCAACGTAAGCCAGATGAGAACCAGTGTCTCAGACTACAAATGATCCAACACACACATTAATTAAAACAATATTGGGCTCAGCAAGATGGATTTCTCTCCTGACACACAGAGACCTACACACACACATGCATGCAGACACACAAATACACGCCATCACGCTTCACCCCCTTTATTTCCTTGGAAGGGTCTAATTTGAGCCTTCAGCCCACATCTCATCTGTTCTGTCAAAGAGGAGAGAGAGAGAGAGAGAGAGAGAGAGAGAGAGCGCGAAAAAGGCTGTAAAAGCATATTTCACAAAACACCTAGCTCACACCCTATAAATAATGCCCAATACACAACAGACTTACAATACAATACACTCCTGATACATGCCAAACACTACCCATCATACAATCGTCGTCATATCAGAATGTGCAGAGAGATACAGTGCCTTCAGAAAGTATTCATACCCCTTGACTTATTCCACTTCTTGTAGTTTTTCTCACCCATCTACACACAATACCCCATTATGACAAAGTGAAAACATGTTTTTAAATTTTTTTGCACCCAATGACCACTGACAGAACTACAAAGTTTATTGGCTGAGATGGGAGAACATGCCAGAAGGACAACGGTCTCTACAGCACTTCACCAATTTGGGCTTTATGGGAGAGTGGCCAGACGGATGACACTTCTGAGAAAAAGGCACATGACAGCACGCCTGGAGTTTGTAAAAAGGCAAGTGAAAGACTCAGGCAAAAGATTCTGTGGTCTGTTGAGATGAAAATGTAACTCTTTGGCCTCAATGCAAAGCGTTATGTCTGGAGAAAACCAGGCACAGCTCATCAGACCACCCCTACCATGAAGCATGGTGGTGGCAGCATCATGCTATGGGGATGCTTTTCAGCAGCAGGGACTGGGAGACTGGTAAGGATAGAGGGAACAATAAATGGAGCCAAATAAAGGCAAATCCTTGATGAGAACCTGCTTCAGAGCGCAAACGACCTTAGACTGGTGCGAAGATTTACGTTCAAACCGGACAATAACCCCAAGCATACATCCAAAGCAACGCTGGAATGTCTTCAGAACAAGAATGTGAAAGTCCTTGAGTGGCCCAGCCAAAGCCCAGACTTGAATCCCATTGTTCACCGCCGCTCCCCATCCAACTTAACCCCCTAGAGTCGATGTCCGCGCCTCCATGGAAATCCAATTAGCATTATAAAAGCATCCCCATCAAAATCCATCTGTTTAAGCTAGAGATGTCATTTTTTTGCATGGGCTGCGTCTCAATCCCCCGCATCCGCCAATGGTGTCACGGGACTCGTCTGAAGTCGGTACCGCCGATCTGCGTCTGTAGCGTCCAAACAGTTTGGGCGACACACTAATATTGTTTTGCTCTAGGACACCCACAAACCTCACAAGACTCGTCTGAAGGTAGCCCAGTAACAATTTGAAAAATATAGTTTAGTGCCAATCTTTTTTTTGCTGATCTTTCTTATATCTCTCAAATACATGTTTTTCCATGTATGAATTTGTTATTCAATGCGTTTCTATGGGCTAATAGCAGTAAGGCCAAATTCAATGTTTCATCGAATCATTTTGTTATATATAGTATGGAAAATAATGTATGCACTCACTAACTGTAAGTCGCTCTGGATAAGAGCGTCTGCTAAATGGCATATTATTATTATTATTACTATTATTATTATTATTATTAAATGACTAAAATATAATATATTTTTTTATACCTAAATGGGTCCTAAAATTCAAAATCAAATAGCTAAATTATCCTTGGTATGACCATCTTAAAACAATTCCATATGTTAACTGTCACGCCCTGACCCAGGGGACTCGTATATGTTGAGTCAGGGTGTGTATGTTCTATGTTGGTGTATATCTATGTTGATATTCTAGTATGTGTATTTCTATGTTGGCCGGTGTGGTTCCCAATCAGAGGCAGCTGTCGCTCGTTGTCTCTGATTGGGGACAATACTTAGGCAGCCTATTGGCACTAGTGGGTTGTGGGATCTTGTTCCGTGTGAGGTATGTTGTTTGTCTACCTTGGACTTCACGTTTCGTTTCATTTGTTGTTTTGTCGTGGTGTTTATTTAGTATAAATAAACATGTATGCATATCACGCTGCGCCTTGGTCCGTCCCGTTCATGAACGATCGTGACATTAACTTAGTAGAACCCAGCAAAGCTGATACAGACATAACCAAGACGACTCAAAGCTGTAATCGCCGCCAAAGCTGCTTCTACAAAGTATTGACTCGGGTGTGAATACTTACGTAAATGAGATATTTCTGCATTTCATTTTCAATAAATTTGCACACATTTCTAAAACCATGTTTTCACTTTGTCACTATGGGGTATTGTGTGTAGATGGGTGAGCATGTTTTGTATTTAATCCATATTGAATTCAGGCTGTAACACAACAAAATGTGGAGTAAGTCAAGGTGTACAGTATGAATACTTTCTGAAGGCACTATAGGTCTAACACCGCTGACTAACACACAAAATCAAACAGTACCAGGTTCACAACAACACTCATATGTGGTCATGTGTATTCTCTCTTTAACGCCTAGTTCGTCCAAGTGATGTCTGTCCTTGTGTGTGTGTGTGTATTCTGTTGCCTCTTACCTAGCTCATCCCACAGCTGTCTGTATTTGTCGGTCATGGTTGTTCCCTGTTGTCTCCACAGTGCCAGGCGAGGGTCGCCCATAAACTGTTCTGTGATCAGCGTTAACATCCTGGCACCGTTGGTGTCACGCATCTTCAACATCTCTCTCACCTAGAGGAGAGAGGGAAGGAGAGGGGGAGAGAGCAGGAGGGAGAGGGGGAGAGAGCAGGAGGGAGAGGGGGAGAGGGGGAGAGAGAGGGTTCAGCAAAGAGACAAGGGCTGTGCGTATGCGTGTGTGTGTTTAGGTTTTTGTGTGTGTTACCTTGTTCAACAGCAGGTTGAGTTGTTTCCCAGAGCCGTGGTATCCTCCCTGTGAGAGGAAGAGTTTCACCTGCTCCTGGACCTGCTCCTCATCCAGGTGCCAGCAGTTCTCATCATCTACACTGGCCCCTGCCGTGGGGTCCGGGGCTCCTACACACACAGAGACAGAGAGAGGTTAGTTACACACACACACACAGCTCATTATTTAGGTTGAGAAATGGAAAATCATTCAGCGAAAGCATTGGGCTCTCTCAGACACAAACAAAAACCAAACAAGATGAAAATAGCCCTCATTTGTCACCAGCTTAAGTAAAATATCATCACACACACACTTTACCACATCACTGTTGCTCATACGGACAGGGTGGTGATTTGGAGGCCCCTGGCAGAGGCCAGTCTGAGCCCCCCACCCCCACCCCTCCTCTTTTAATGTGTCAAACAATTCACTTCAAAAAGTAGTTTACCTTCGCACGTGCATCCAAATTAATTCCAGCATCTGAACAGTGCACTGTGCAGCCGCCAACTTTCCATAAATTTGCAAGTGGCTGACACCATCTCACCAGAGAAAGCATCCGAGCTAACGAAACAGCGGCCGTGTCTTACTATATGTAGGCCATGTATCTGATGCTGTCTGGCCAAAAAGGGTATGACATGCCATACTCTTTTTGGCCAGACAGCGTTAGATACATGGCCTAAACATACACTATATATTTAAATTTTTTAAATTTTAGTCATTTAGCATACGCTCTTATCCAGAGCGACTTACAGTACTGAGTGCATACATTTTCATACTTTTTTCATACTGGTCCCCAGTGGAAATCAAACCCACAACCCTGCCGTTGCAAGCGCCATGCTCTACCAACTGAGCTACATGGGACTATATATACAAAAGTATGTGGACCCCTTCAAATTAGTGGTCTAGAAGCATCATGGGCTCAGCTGCGAAGTGGTAGGCCACACAAGCTCACAGAACGGGAGCACCGAGTGCTGAATCGCGGAGCGTGTAAAAATTGTCTGTCCTTGGTGGCAACACTCACTACCAAATTCCAAACTGCTTTTGGAAGCAACGTCAGCACAAGAACTGTTAGTCGGGAGCTTCATGAAATGGGTTTACATGGCTGAGCAGCCACACACAAGCCTACGATCACCATGCGCAATGGCAAGCATAGGCTGGAGTGGTATAAAGCTCGCCGCCATTGGACTCTGGAGCAGTGGAAATGCGTTCTCTGGAGTGATGAATCACGCTTCACCGTCTGGCAGTCCGATGGACGAATCTGGGTTTGGCGGATGCCAGGAGAACGCTACCTGCCCCAATGCATAGTGCCAACTGTAAAATTTGGTGGAGGAGGATTAATGGTCTGGGGCTGTTTTTCATGGTTCGGGCTAGGCCCCTTAGTTCCAGTGAAGGGAAATCTTAACGCTACAGCATACAATGACATTCTAGATGATTCTGTGCTTCCAACTTTGTGACAACAGTTTGGGGAAGGCCCTTTCCTGTTTCAGCATGACAATGCCCCCGTGCACAAAGCGAGGTCCATACAGAAATGGTTTGTCGAGATCGGTGTGGAAGAACTTGACTGGCCTGCACAGAGCCCTGACCTCAACCTCATCGAACACCTTTGGGATGAATTGGAACGCCGACTGCGAGCCAGGCCTAATCACCCAACATCAGTGCCCGACCTCACTAATTCTCGTGGCTGAACGGAAGCAAGTCCCTGCAGCAATGTTCCAACATCAAGTGGAAAGCCTTCCCAGAAGAGTGGAGGCTGTTATAGCAGCAAAAAGGGGGGACCAACTCCATATTAATGCCCATGATCTTGGAATGAGATGTTCGACGAGCAGGTGTCCACATAGTGTACATGGCCTCGACGACGATTGCAGTGTTATCAGCAGCACCTGTCTTTTTACTAAAGAAATGCGTTAATGTGGGTGATTTTTCTGTTCCAATTACATCTTTCTTTTTCTCTTCTCTGCCCTGCTCTGAAAGCGCCACATTGCTGCAGCTAAATTTCAATGAAAGTCACGTTTGCAATCATATCCGGTAGGGCTTCACTGGAGCCAGCCAGAAATAAATCTATTCCAGGCACACACACAAACTCACAAACACACACATACTTTTTCTTCATCTCTCCATTTCTTACTCTCTACACACCCCCACTCACCATGGACCTGGTTGATCTCAGAGTTTGTAGACAGAATCTCGTCAGCTAGTTTCTGAGCAGTGGGCAGCACCTCCGTGTGGTGTACTGTTATCAGGTACTGGACAAACTTCTGCAACTGGTCTCTATTCATCTGGAACAGTGTCTCTGAGATGGGCAGGTGCAGTTTGACCTGCTCGGGCTTCCGTACGCGGTACAGGGCCAGCGCTACCACGTGGGCGCAGTAGAAGATGTCCTTGTTACCACAGCCGCACGTGACCGCTGTGATCTTGCAGCGGTCGAAGCTGACACTCACGCTGCAGACGAGCTCGGGTTCCGACGGCGTGGCCGGTTCTGTTACCGTTCCGCTGAGGTGGAATCCTGCAAAAGAAAAGAGGAGAACCATTAGACGATCAATCAATCAAGTAATCAATCAAATTGTATTCATGTAGCCTAATAGTTTTACACAGAAGTGCTTAACAGAAAGTTGTGTTCGGAATGTTTGAACACTACAATGGCATTCATGTTGTTGTCATTAACCTGTGAGTGTGTGGCTCAGCAGCCTATACGTGCAGAAGACCCATAGTACCACCTAGCTACGAGTCAGACTGTAATGTTAAGAGGGGGAGGAAGAGGAAGAGGAAGAGGAGTCCCTGAAGCGATGAGAGGGGAAGATCTCTCTCTTCTTTCTCTCTCTCTCTGGGGAAAAGATCAAACAGCTGATCTCTAGAGTCCCGCAGTGTGACGAGTGATGACCTCCTAATGCAATAGAGCTCAGCCGTCACGCACGCACGGCCCCCACACAGCCCTGCACACACACAACCCTCAGCCCCCACACAGCCCTGCACACACACACACACATGCACTTCCAGTCAGGGAGGAGAGAGCCAGAGAGACGAAAGACTGAAACATGCTCATTTCATTTTAATTTCCTTTCCACAACATTTGGAAAATATCTGGGAGGAAGCCCTTTCCTGCCGATAACGTAGCAGGCCTCTGAAAACCACACCGACAGCCAGGACTTATGGGATACGGACATCACTGAGGCCCTCAAAATGACCACCATAAATCCTGTCTGGTTGGGCCTGGGATCAGACCAGTTAGCTCCAAATGGCCATGCTAGAGAGGATTTAAAAGGGACGATATTGTGCAAACTGATAAGCAAGTAGGCTACATTTACTGAATACATCTTATCTCAAAAACATCCTGCTCAAAGTCTCAATTCAGGTTTCCTTCTGTTGACATCACAGCTCTGCACAAGAGAAGAAAATCATAGCCCCAACATAAGAAAACAGTAAAATAACCAATTCACATAGTGTACAGGCTCGTTACTACTACAGCGGTGTTCCCTCCACTGTATTCAAATCTCATTATATTTGTCATATGCTTCGTAACCAACAGAGAAAAAAAAGAAAAATAATAGAAAGATAATAACACGAGGAATGAATACACAATGAATAACGATAACTTGGCTATATACAGGGGGTACCAGTGCCGAGTCGATGTGTGGGGTACGAGGTTACTGAGGTAGATACTCAGTGTGGCGTACAGCAGGTCAGCCACCAGGGGGAGACTCGTCGAGGCCTGGTAACAGATGGAGTATACATCACGAGGCTGTGGCTCCATCTGCTGGACGTGCCAGGTCTCAACAGGCTCTCCAGACAGGACTAATTGGGGCTGATTGGGAGCTGGTGAGTAATTAAGGGCGGATTGCTCACCAGCTGTGCAAGGCCCATAAAGCTGCCAGAAGGGCAGCACATGGGAGAGGACTGGGGGAAGTAAGGTAACTTCAGTGTAGTTGGAGACGGTATCCTGGAGAGGGTCTCATGGGGGAGACCCATCCTTTTCTTTTGATTATTTTGTTAATAAACACCCTTAATAAACACCCTTGAAACCGAGCTAATCATACTCTGTCCATGTCTGATCTGTGTAAACGTCTTGACCCAACACCCTGATCTGCCACAAGTGGTGAAGAATACGGGCATCTTGATAACGTGGTCAGAACAGGCTTGACGTTTACACAGCATCAGCATGGACGAGTTGATAGCTCAGTTCGTCCGGCCCAACAAGCACAACAGGCGGTTCAGGAACGAACGCTGGAGGCACAGCGACTACAAAATGTCCGCCTCGTGGAGGAAGTCAGGAAGCCGCAAGGAGGAGCGTCTCCTAAATCCCATCCCAACCAGTTTTTAATCAAGCTAACGGAAGACGATTACATTGAAACATACCTTTGAACGGACAGTGCTACGGGAAGGATGGCCAAGGCCGAAGTGGGCAAGTCTGCTGGCCCCGTTCCTCTCTGGGAATGCCCAAAAGGCATATTGGGACCTGAACAACGAACAGGTGGCTAACTACGACGGACTCAAACGGGAGATACTCAGCCGCTACGGGTACAGCCTGGCCCATCGGGCTCAACGGTTCCACGACTGGAGGTTCATGCCCGACGCATCCCCCCGAGCCCAGATGAGCAACCTTCTGCGCGTCACCAGGGCATGGCGCCTAACCGACGAATCCACCCTCTCCCTCCTCAACAAAGTCGTCTTGGATCGCTTCGTACGGGCGCTACCCCACGACATGAAGAGGGCAGCGAGTCTATGTGCGCCCCAGACCTTGGAGGGCCTCCTGGAAGCAGTGGAGATGCATCAGAACACTCAGGCCCTACTGAGGGGGAGCCGGGATGAGTCGGCGACCTGTGCGAGGGGACGGAAGGACAACCCCACGCGGTGTACCCTGAACCGACAGTCGGCAGGGCCAAGGGACCGCAAACCCGTGGAGAGACGGCTGGGGAAGGGCCGAACCGCCACCGACGACCCCAGGTAGATGGAGACCAACGGAGGTGTTTTTAGTGTGGCGCCCGGGGGCACATTGCCTGGAAGTGCCCTGCTCGAGAGGAGTCGATGCCATCAGCTAGCACCGGAGGCCAGGTGGGTCACGCCGTGAACTGTCACCTCCTGTTGGGCGCACCGTGAATCAACGGCACCCATGGTCCCGGTGAAGGTTGACGGACACGACACGGAAGCCCTATTAGACTCCGGAAGCATGGTTACGCTCGTAACCACGAGCCTGCTGAACCAGGGGACCGAACAGGGTAGGGAGATGTCCATTTCCTGTGTTCACGGTGACACAAAGCGGTATCCCGCCGCATGGACCAACATCGTGACACCACAAGGGAGCTGCCAGATGATGGTGGGTGCAGTACCAGAGCTGCCGGTACCTATCCTAGTGGGACGGGATTGTCCGCTGTTCGCGGCCCTATGGGGGCACGAGTGGAAAAAAAAGATACGAACCGGCCAAAGAAGAGAGCCGGAACCCGAACCCCCTGGGGAACCACTGGAGTAGGAGCCCAGCCTCCCCCTTCTCGATTTCGAGGGGCCAGTCGAGACCCCGTTGGGGGCCAACTGAGGGGACAATTTGGGACAGCCCAGTGGGAGGATCCAACTTTGAAAGCTGCCGCAGCCCAAGTGATAGCGGTGGATGGACAGCTACTTCCGGGGGTGAGTGACTGGCGATACCCCCATTTCCAAATTAAGAATAACCTTTTGTATCAGGTGTCGCGCCAACAGGGGGAACTTCGAGAGGTATTGTTGCTGCCCCGACGGTACGTAGGAACCATTCTTCAGCTGGCCCACACACACCTGTTGGGGGCGCACCTGATCATGCAGATCCGGACCTCCGTTTTTCACCCGCAGACAGATGAGCTCGTCGAGCGCTTTAACAAAACGCTCAAACAGATGCTGCCGAAGGTCATCGAGCAGGACGGGAAGAACTGGGACCAGCTGCTACCCCACCTAATGTTCTCAATCCGAGAAGTACCCCAATCCTCCACTGGGTTTTCCCCGTTTGAACTCCTTCGGGAGGAGGCCACGTGGCCTACTGGACCTCGCCGAGGAGGTGTGGGAAGCCCAACCGACCCCCTTACGCAGTGTGGTAGAGCATGTGGAGACGATGCGGGACCGAATGACAACCATATGGCCAGTCGTGAGGAAACATATGGAGAAGGCCCAACGCGCCCAAGCCCAGCTCTACAATCGGGGAGCCCAGCTCCGAGAGTTCCAGGTGGGAGACAGGGTGTTGGTGATGATCCCCACGGCTGAAAGTAAGTTCCTGGCCACATGGCACGGACCATATGAGGTGGTCGAGAAACTGGGACCTGTTAACTACCGCGTATGGCAACCAGGGAGACGGAAACCTCAACAGATTTACCACGTGAACCTGTTGAAGAAGTGGCACGAGAGGACAGCCTTGGCCGTGTTATGGTACCAATGGTGGTACCGAGCAGTGAGGTCCTCGACACCGGCCCAGAAGCAAGAGCTCTGGGAACTTGTCAATCGGAACACGGCGGTGTTCTCCAAGAAGCTGGGCCGCACAACCCTCATTGAACACCACATTCGTACCCGGCCTGTGGAAACGGTAAGAAAGAGGCCGTATCGTATTCTGGAGGCCCGACGGAAGGACGTGAAACAAGAAGTGGAGGCTATGCTGAGGATGGAGGTCATTGAAGAGTCCCACAGTGCATGGTGCAGCCCCATCGTGTTGGTGCCCAAACCGGACGGTAGCCTCCGCTTCTGTAATGATTTCCGGGGCTTGCTGGACGCGCTCAGACAAGCCGGGTTGACCGCAAACCCCAAGAAATGCAAGCTAGGGTTCGAGGAGGTGGAGTACCTGGGGTATTTGATTGGACGGGGGAACGTCAAGCCCCAGGAGAGGAAGGTTCACGCGGTACGTGACTGGCCCGTTCCACGCACCAAGACACAGGTCAAGTCCTTCCTGGGACTGGCAGGATACTATAGCCGGTTTATCCCCAACTTTGCGGCTATAGCTTCCCCCCTCACTGATCTAACCAGGGCCCGCCTCCCGAAAACAGTGAAATGGACGGACGAGACAGAAGCAGCGTTCAGCCATCTGAAGGAAGGGGGTCTCTCCAGACAGGACTAATTGGGGCTGATTGGGAGCTGGTGAGTAATTAAGGGCAGATTGCTCACCAGCTGTGCAAGGCCCATAAAGTTGCCAGAAGGGCAGCACATGGGAGAGGACTGTGGGAAGTAAGGTAACTTCCGTGTAGTTGGAGACGGTATCCTGGAGAAGGTCTCATGGGGGAGACATATCCTTTTCTTTTGATTATTTTGTTAATAAACACCTTTGAAACCGAGCTAATCATACTCTGTCCGTGTCTGATCTGTGTAAACGTCTTGACCCAACACCCTGATCTGCCACAGTACATATAGGTAGGGGTAAAGTGACTAGGCAACAGGATAGATAATAAAACAGTAGTAGCAGCGTATGTGGTGAGTCCAAAGAGTTTGTGCAAAGGGGGGTCAATGCAGATAATTAAAAATTATATAAATATTTAACTACCTTAAAATTAAGTAGGCAAGTCAGTTAAGAACAAATTCTTATTTACAATGACGGCCTAGCCCGGCCAAACCCTCCCCTAACCCGGACGACGCTGGACCAATTGTGCGCCACCCTATGGGACTCTGTGATACAGCCCGGGATCGAACCTGGGTCTGTAGTGATGCCTCTAGCACTGCAATGCAGTGCGTTAGACTGCTGCGCCACTCGGTCCCCCAACTAGCTACCCGACTAACTATTTAACAGTCTTTTCACTTGAGGTGAACAGGAGAAAGGGGAAGTCATCCATTTTATTTTGGGCTTTCTCAAAGTGTACACACACACACACACACACACACACACACACACACACACACCAGGAGGAGAGGGTCTGCTACCCAGTACTAGAGGGTCCGGATCATGTTCTCCCCGCTATGAAATGCTAATGTATCACATTGCTACTTTTCCTGACTGTCTACTGAGAATCCTCGGTGAGCCTGATATTGCTGGGGTGAAATGATGTATCTACACTACATTACCAAAAGTATGTGGACACCTGCTCGTCGAACATCTCATTCCAAAATCATGTGCATTCATATGGAGTTGGTCCCCCCTTAGCTGCTATAACAGCCTCCACTCTTCTGGGAAGGCTTTCCACTAGATGTTGGAACATTGCTGCAGGGATTAGGCCTGGCTCGCAATCGGCGGTCCAATTCATCCCAAAGGTGTTCGATGGGGTTGAGGTCAAGGCTCTGTGCAGGCCAGTCAAGTTCTTCCACACCGACCTCGACAAACCATTTCTGTATGGACCTCGCTTTGTGCACGGGGGTATTGTCATGCTGAAACAGGAAAGGGCCTTCCCCAAAGTTGGGCCACAAAGTTCGAAGCACAGAATCGTCAAGAATGTAATTGTATGCTGTAGCATTAAGATTTCCCTTCACTGGAACTAAAGGGGCCTAGCCCAAACCATGAAAAACAACCCCAGAGCAGTATTGCTCCTCCACTAAACTTTACAGTTGGCACTATGCATTCGGGTAGGTAGCGTTCTCCTGGCATCCGCCAAACACAGATTTATCCATCAGACTGCCAGATGGTGAAGCATGATTCATCATTCCAGAGAACGCGTTTCCACTGCTCCAGAGTCCAATGGCGGCGAGCTTTACATCATTCCAGCCGACACTTGGCATTGCACATGGTGATCTTAGACTTGTGTGCGGCTGCTCGCCCATGGAAACCCATTTCATGAAGCTCCCGACGAAACAGTTATTGTGCTGACGTTGCTTCCAGAGACAGTTTGGAACTCGGTAGTGAGTGTTGCAACCGAGGACAGACGAGCTACACACTTCAGCGGTGTCGTTCTGTGAGCTTGTGTGGCCTACCACTTCGCGGCTGAGCCGTTGTTGCTCCTAGACGATTTCACTTCACAATAACAGCACTTACAGTTGACCGGGGCAGCTCTAGCAGGGCAGAAATATGATGAACTGACTTGTTGGAAAGGTGGCATCCTATGACAGTGCCACGTTGAAAGTCACTGAGCTCTTCAGTAAGACCATTCTACTGCCAATGTTTGTCTATGGAGATTGCATGGCTGTGTGCTCGATTTTATACACCTGTCAGTATAGGGTGTGGCTGAAAGCCGAATCCACTAATTTGACATACAGTGTATAAGACCGGACGTCCATAGCTTAGTCTGAAAGCCTCAGATGGTCCTAGAGTGTGGGTCTAAGGTCAACTTTGCCCTAAATCTCTTAAGGGTTGAAGTAAGGCCTGGATCTGGCTAAGCTGATCCTAAAATCAGTGCTTAAGTAGGGGACTTGAGCCTGGAGCAATGTCAATATGGTTAGCCAGATACTTCAACTACAGCCTGAGGGAAACAAACAGGCCTATTGGTCTGAGATAGATTTAGTGAGATATTATAAGAATTAAATAACTGTCACAAGGGAGGTTTGGGAGACAGCACACAAACACACACGTGTGTTCAAAGAAAACACACAGAAAATGAATACACAGGTTTCGCTTCTCTCGGCAGGTTTTTGCTCAATCAGAATACAGGAAACTCACACTCAGACCTGACTAACAGAAGATGGGGGGGAGAGAGAGAGAGAGCAGAGAGCGCGAGAGCAGAGAGAGAGAGAAAGAGAGCGAGAGAAAGAGCAGAGAGAGAGGGTGAGTGACAAAGACAAGAGAGAGAGAGAAAGAGAGCGAGAGCAAGAGCAGAGAGAGAGGGTGAGTGACAAAGACAGAGTGAGAGAGCAGTGGCTTGCGAAAGTATTCACTCCACTTGGCATTTTTCCTATTTTGTTGCCATACAACCTGGAATTAAAATGTTTTTTTGGGGGGTTTGTATCATTTGATTTACACAACATGCCTACCACGTTGAAGATGCAAAATATGTTTTATTGTGACACAAACAAGAAATGAGACAAAAAAATAAAATAAATTGAGCGTGCATAACTATTCACTCCCCCAAAGTTAATACTTTGTAGAGCCACCTTTTGCAGCAATTACAGCTGCAAGTCTCTTGGGGTATGTCTCTATAAGCTTGGCACATCTAGCCACTGGGATTTTTGCCCATTCTTCAAGGCAAAACTGCTCCAGCTCCTTCAAGTTGGATGGGTTCCGCTGGTGTACATCAATCTTTAAGTCATACCACAGATTCTCAATTGGATTGAGGTCTGGGCTTTGACTAGGCCATTCCAAGACATTTAAATGTTTCCCCTTAAACCACTCAAGTGTTGCTTTAGCAGTATGCTTAGGTTCATTGTCCTGCTGGAAGGTGAACCTCCTTCCCAGTCTCAAATTCCTGGAAGACTGAAACAGGTTTCCTTCAAGAATTTCCCTGTATTTAGCGCCATCCATCATTCCTTCAATTCTGACCAGTTTCCCAGTCCCTGTGGGGATGGTGTTCTTGGGGTGATGAAGTGTTGGGCTTGCGCCAGACATAGCGTTTTCCTTGATGGCCAAAAAGCTCAATTTTAGTCTCATCTGACCAGAGTACCTTCATCCATATGTTTGGGGAGTCTACCACATGGCTTTTGGCGAACACCAAACGTGTTTAAGCTATGGCTTTTTTCTGGCCACTCTTCCATAAAGCCCAGCTCTGTGGAGTGAACAGCTTAAAAGTGGTCCCATGGACAATCTCCGCTGTGGAGCTTTGCAGCTCCTTCAGGGTTATCTTTGGTCTCTTTGTTGCCTCTCTGATTAATGCCCTCCTTGCCTGGTACGTGAGTTTTGGTGGGCGACCCTCTATTGGCAGGTTTGTTGTGGTGCCATATTCTTTCCATTTTTTAATAATGGATTTAATGGTGCTCCGTGGGATGTTCAAAGTTTCAGATATTTTTTTATAACCCATCCCTGATCTGTACTTCTCCACAACTTTGTCCCTGACCTGTTTGGAGAGCTCCTTGGTCTTCACAGTGCCGCTTGCTTGGTGGTGCCCATTGCTTAGTGGTGTTGCAGACTCTGGGGCCTTTCAGAACAGGTGTATATATATACACTGAGATCATGTGACAGATCATGTGACACTTAGATTGCACACAGGTGGACTTTATTTAACTAATTGTGTGACTTCTGAAGGTAATTGGTTGCACCAGATCATATTTAGGGGCTTCATAGCAAAGGGGTGAATACATATGCACGCACCACTTTTCTGTTATTTATGTTTTCGCATTTTTTGAAACAAGTTATTTTTTTCATTTCAATTCACCAATTTTGACTATTTTGTGTATGTCCATTACATTAAATCCAAATAAAAATCTATTTAAATTACAGGTTGTAATGCAACAAAATAGGAAAAAACGCCAAGGGGGATGAATACTTTTGCAAGGCACTGTATAGACGAGAGGAGAGAGAGAGGGAGAGAGGTATAGAGCGAGAAGAGAGAGGAGAGAGAGAAGAGAGAGGTATAGAGCGAGAGGAGAGAGAGAGAGGAGAGAGGTATAGACGAGAGAGAGGGAGAGGTATAGACGAGAGAGAGAGGTATAGACGAGAGAGAGGTATAGACGAGAGAGAGAGAGAGAGAGAGAGGGAGGTATAGAGCGAGAGAGAGAGGTATAGACGAGAGAGAGAGAGAGAGAGAGAGAGGAAGGTATAGTCAGCCGACACAACGATACAGGGGATCACTTCACACACACACACACACACACACACACACACACACACACACGCTTGCATAAGTACATCCCCAGTTGGCAGTTGCTTGCCAATGTACTAGTTCGCACACACACTAACACTGAGAGCACTCCCCTATACTATATGGCCCAACCCGAGTCATGCATGGCCCACAGCTGAACTACTGACGTCAGAGAAGGGGGAGAGGAAGGGAAAGACAGAGGGAGGGAGAAAGAGAAGAAGGGAGAGGCAGAGAGAATTCCTAAACAGGGGAGGAGACCGCTGGGCTGGTGGGAAGCTTGGAAAGCCCTCAGCTGAGTGTGTGTGTGGAGAGAGGCTTGGCGGCGTGCCAGAGCCCTGAGCTCAGCATTCTGTAACTCACTTCCCCTCTTCTGCTCTGTAGCTTGCATAATACTGCCTAGCGCTGCACGGCAACCAGACTTAACCCTTAATTACTTACCAAAGCAACCAGACAACCCTTAACTACCAATACAGACCATAATACTGCCTAGCGATGCACGGCAACCAGACTTAACCCTTAATTACTTCCCAAAGCAACCAGATAGCCCTTAACTACCAATACAGACCATAATACTGCCTAGCGATGCACGGCAACCAGACTTAACCCTCAACTACCACTACAGACTATATATGACCCACTATGCTGTTTACGTTCTGCATCTACGTCATATCGCCGAGTCTAACTTTTAACATGGTTGTTAAGGATTCATTTTTGTTGCCGTGGTAGGCAGTTAAGGGTTAATGCAGCGCTAGTATGTATGTACAGTTTAAGTCGGAAGTTTACATACACCTTAGCCAAATACATTTAAACTCAGTTTTTCACAATTCCTGACATTTAATCCAAGTAAAAATTCCCTGTCTTAGGTCAGTTAGGATCACCACTTTATTTTAAGAATGTGAAATGTCAGAATAGTAGTAGAGAGAATTATTTATTTCAGCTTTTATTTATTTCATCACATTCCCAGTGGGTCAGAAGTTTACATACACTCAATTAGTATTTGGAAGCATTGCCTTTAAATTGTTTAACTTGGGTCAAACATTTTGAGTAGCCTTCCACAAGCTTCCCACAATAAGTTGGGCGAAGTTTGGCCCATTCCTCCTGACAGAGCTGGTGTAACTGAGTCAGGTTTGTAGGCCTCCTTGCTCGCACACGCTTTTTCAGTTCTGCCCACAAATTTTCTATAGGATTGAGGTCAGGGCTTTGTGATGGCCACCCCAATACCTTGACTTTGTTGTCCTTAAGCCATTTTGCCACAACTTTGGAAGTATTTTTGGGGTCGTTGTCCATTTGGAAGACCCATTTGCGACAAAGCTTTAACTTCCTGACTGATGTCTTGAGATGTTGCTTCAATATATCCACATAATTTTCCTTCCTCATGATGCCATCTTTTTTGTGAAGAGCACCAGCCCCTCCTGCAGCAAAGCACCCCCACAGCATGATGCTGCCACCCCCGTTCTTCACGGTTGGGATGGTGTTCTTCGGCTTGCAAGCTGTCCCTTTTTCCTCCAAACATAACAATGGCCAAAGAGTTCTATTTTTGTTTCATCAGACCAGAGGACATTTCTCCAAAAAGTACGATCTTTGTCCCCATGTGCAGTTGCAAACCGTAGTCTGGTTTTTTTATGGCAGTTTTGGAGCAGTAGCTTCTTCCTTGCTGAGCGGCCTTTCAGGTTATGTCGACATAGGACTCGTTTTACTGTGGATATAGATACTTTTGTACCTCTCCTCCAGCATCTTCACAAGGTCCTTTGCTGTTGTACTGTGATTGATTTGCACTTTTTGCATCAAAGTACGTTCATCTCTAGGAGACAGAACGCGTCTCCTTCCTGAGCGGTATGACGGCTGCGTGGTCCCATGGTGTTTATACTTGCGTACTATTGTTTGTACAGATGAACGAGGTACCTTCAGGTGTTTGGAAATTGCTCCCAAGGATGAACCAGACTTGTGGAGGTCTACACATTTTTTTCTGAGGTCTTGGCCTACCTTCAAACTCAGTGCCTCTTTGCTTGACATCATGGGAAAATCAAAAGAAATCATTCTTTTGATTTTCCCATGATGTCAAGCAAAGAGGCACTGAGTTTGAAGGTAGGCCTTGAAATACATCCACAGGTACACCTCCAATTGACTCAAATGATGTCAATTAGCCTATCAGAAGCTTCTAAAGCCATGACATCATTTTCTGGAATTTTCCAAGCTGTTTAAAGGCACAGTCAACTTAGTGTATGTAAACTTCTGACCCACTGGAATTGTGATACAGTGAATTATAAGTGAAATAATCTGTCTGTAAACAATTGTTGGAAAAATGACTTGTGTCATGCACAAAGTAGATGTCCTAACCGACCTGCCAAAACTATAGTTTGTCAACAAGAAATTTGTGGAGTGGTTGAAAAACTAGTTTTAATGACTCCAACCTAAGTGTATGTAAACTTCCGACTTCAACTGTAGATGCAGAAAGTAAACATCATAGACTCCCGAGTGGCGCAGTGGTCTAAGGCACTGCATCGCAGTGCTAGCTGTGCCACTAGAGAACCTGGTTCGAGTCCAGGCTCTGTCGCAGCCGGCCGCGACCGGGAGACCCATGGGCGGCGCACAATTGGTCCAGCATCGTCCAAGGTAGGGGAGGGTTTGACCGGCAGGGATGTGGGTTCGTTTCCCACGGGGGGCCAGTATGAAAAAAATAAAAATAAACAAAAGAAAACACATGTATGCATTCACTAACTATAAGTTGCTCTGGATAAGAGCGTCTGCTAAATGACTAAAATGTAAATGTAGTAGGTCAATTTCCGCAACAACTAAGAGCAATGAAGCGTGATGCTCAACTTCTCTGTTTTGGTCCCGTGACTACCACCCTGGAAGAGTATGAAGTGAACCCATGCACATGCGCAGATGCTGTGTGTGACAGTGTCAGAGCGAAGTCTTGCATCTCACTGATCTCAAATATCTGCTGAATCATTTAAATTTGAGGAATCATCATTGTTATAACTCCACATACAATGGAGTCAACGGATGGTTAACTATAGGTCCAGTAAATGGAAAACTGAGAAGGGATTTTAGTGGGGCATAATATGGGTCAGCCCATCATGGCCTGTGAGAGAGCAGTGGCACCCTATGGGGCGGTCTGTAAGGACCCTGTCATGCCAGAGGCTGTCCAGTTGGTTGCCCGTCGAGACGGCTGGCTAGAGGGGTCATTCTGGTTCTCACAGCACTGTGACAAAGACCCACTTTTAACTGTGTATTTATTAGACAATGGCTGGCTACCCTCCCATTCCTTACCTCTGCCACACAGCCAATAGGAATAAAGCATGCTCTGTAGACAACAACAAGAGGTGTGGGGAGGACAGGGGAGGTTGTGTGCGAGAGCGCACGAGGGGGGAACAGTGTGCAAGACGGAGGGGCGTGTGCCTGTGTGTGTGTGTGTGTGTGTGTGTGTGTGTGTGTGTGTGTGTGTGTGTGTGTGTGTGTGTGTGTGTGTGTGTGTGTGTGTGTGTGTGGAGGCGGGGAATGCTTCACAAAGCTCTGAATTGGGTACATTTGAGTAAAGTAGGCCAATTTGTGTCCCTCTGAAGACGTTTCCTCGTGTAGAATGTCTCCTCACTGTACCAATACACACACAAACACGCACCAATTAGCAGAAGGTTATACCTGACAGCACTTCTGCTGTCGCTACGAGTGGTGCAGTAAAACTGACGAGTTAAACCTTTCCAATCAGTCTCCGTCATCCCATATACACATTGAAAATAGCATATTTTGTCATTGATAAGTGCCTAATGCTGTGGCTGTACAGTAACATGCTATACGTTACGTCAGAGCTCAGGTTCTCCGCTTTAAAGCGCTGTATTGGTTTTGACTGACAGTCTCTCTGAACTTGAGCACCGTGCGCAACAATAAGATACCCCCAACCCCCAACTCTCCCGCATATTGGGCTACTTTTGCAATTTGTTGTTGTCGGAGTGAGGACAATGCTGTAAATCAAGAGAAGTCGATGTGTTCTAAAAGATGAGATGTTGAGGATTATAATAAATACCGCTTTCATGTCATACAAGCAAACCACACACCCATGAGTCTAAATGTGCACTTCACATTTCCATATTTGAAAACTCCTGTCACTTACAGTATCAATGTTCACAAACACCATGTTTGATCCAAAGTTACAAGGATGACTTGTGTTATACCCTGGGTTGTCCTGAACAGAATGAGCCTGTTTGTCGTATTGTGAAGAAAATTCGCAGCGGAACACGCACTTGAATGCACTCATGACTCCATTCTATGCACACCAAAATTACAATCCCTTTGTCTGAAGTGCCTTTTTTTTATTTTATTTTACCTTTATTTAACTAGGCAAGTCAGTTAAGAACACATTTTTATTTACAATGACGGCCTACACCGGCCAAACCCGGACGACGCTGAGCTAAATGGAACTCCCAATCACGGCCGGTTGTGATACAGCCTGGAATCGAACCAGGGGGTCTGTAGTGACGCCTCAAGCACTGAGATGCAGTGCCTTAGACCGCTGCGCCACTCGGATGCCTTTTGAAAGCCTTACACTGTAAGATTGTATTTGATAACTTAGCTAGCCACGTTGGCAACAGAATAAGCTTTCACATTTTTGCCCATCTCACCCAGATTGCGATTTATTATGGAACTTTTTGGGATTGCGTAAACAACAACAGTAATTGTGTGATGGTGCGGATGCAGGGCTGTGCTCCAAACAAAAAACTACAAGTGTATTTGTTTCAGTTCCACAACGGCAAAGCTAATCACCTTATAGTTGAAGGCTCTTTCCTTGAGTCATAAAAGTGCATTAATAATAATAATAATAATATGCCATTTAGTAGACGCTTTTATCCAAAGCGACTTACAGTCATGTGTGCATACATTTTTACGTATGGGTGGTCCCGGGGATCTATCCCACTACCCTGGCGTTACAAGCGCCATGCTCTACCAATTGAGCTACAGAGGACCATTGACATTACATAGGAACTGTGCACTTTTTGAAGAAGTGTGTGGCCACTTGGAGACACCAGTTAGATCTCGCACTCAATCCCTTCTAATAGTTTTTTCCCTTATCTTGCACCTACTCCAAAATGTCAATATCATGTTACTGAACGTATCCAGAGTATTTTCAGATGTCATTATCAATAAATGCTGTGAAAAGTACAGTAAATGTAAAATGCACATCAAATCAACAGTGTAATGTTTGGATTCAGTCTTGTGTCAGGTGAACTGTTGTGTCCTCACCTTTGGTCTGATCATTTCCCCATAATCTCCAAAGTGTTCTCTTTCAATTGCTACCATGGTCATGCATATGCTTTGGGCGGCAGGTAGCTTAGTGGTTAAGAGCGTTGTGCCAGTAACCGAAAGGTCGCTGGTTCTAATCCCCGAGCCGACTAGGTGAAAAATCTGTCGATGTGCCCTTGAGCAAGGCACTTAACCCTAATTGCTCCTGTAAGTCGCTCTGGATAAGAGCGTCTGCTAAATGACCAATTATTATTATTATTATTATAGTTTGTCTGTTAGAAACATTTCGATATGGCCTTATCCATATAGGCCAATTTCCACAGTGTTAGGGGTTCCCATGTGGCTCAGTTGGTAGAGCATGGCACTTGAATCACCAAGGTTGTGGGTTCAATTCCCACGGGGACCAGTACAGAAATGTAGGCACTAACTACTGTAAATCGCTCTGGATAAGAGCGTCTGCTATATTATGTAAATGTAAAGGGGTTACTGACTACAATTCATAGGCCTATTCAATAACTATAAGGATAATATTTTCTTGAATTTCAATGTCCTTGGGGAGTGTGAGGTAGTCATTGTATAGGTTTTCCTTTACACTACTAAAGCCAGTAGCAGACTGTATACCTCAGAGAAGAAGAGATTCTTTCCAACCAACCGGACACCCTGCAGCTCTGTCTGAAAACAACCTCAGAAAAAACCTGAAAAGACCTGAGGAAAAAGGAGGAGAGGCACCCTATACAACAAGCGAGACTCAAACCCACACAGCAATGGTTTAAAACTACCTCCGAAAAGGAGATAGAGACCTTGGAAAAAGGAGAGAAAGAGAGAAAGGTCCTTAACAACAGTGGAGGAGGTGTAAAGAGTCTGGCAGCTCAGACTGGACACTATCGTTGCTGTGTTTTTATGGTGTCCATTTCACTGGCCACAATAGGGACAGTGTTTGTGCGCTGTCACACATTAAGTTGGCTGGTATAGCCCGCTATCTTTTTCTCTGTTTATGGCCTCCTACAGTGAGACATACTCAACATGCACACTGACCCACCCATCCACAAAAACGTACTATGCATTGGAGTACTTCTACCTATTTTGTTTCTTGTTTTGGCTGTTTTTGATATTCTTCTCCTCTATTTTCTCCATCTTTTCTTTCTGTTTAAGTATTCAGAGCAGTCACTGCATTGCAAACAGCAATCATCCCTTTCCTATGCTCACTGAATTAAGACTTGAATACAGAGAGAGAGGGATGGCGTTTAAAGACTCTTTAGGGAGGGAGAGAGAGAGAAATAGAGAGAGGGAGGGAGGGAGAGAGGGACAGGCGGAGAGGGAGGGAGAGGCAGATGGATTTTACAGACAGTACAGAAAGAGAGAATCTGGCTGCTTTTAAGTGAGAGAGGGGACGCACAGACAACACACAGACAAGCATAGTACCCTATAGTTACCTCAGAGGGGTTATAGTTTATTTTATTTTTCTATTGATAATTAATAGCAGTTAAGTAGCAATTAAGAAGAAATGAGTTGTACTTCTATAACAAAAATCAAGGAAAACTGAAAAGGACAGAGAGGGGAAGGGGGAGAGATGAAGAGATGATTACGATCCACAGCTTCAGCTAACTAACACATTCCCTCTCCTAAGAACAGCACAACACTGTGTAACCCAGATCTGTCACACATATACACACACTGACTGCACTGATTACCAGTTAAACTCCTGGAAACAAAGACCTGCTGAAAAATGAAACTGTCAGTGTATCAGGTGGAGGAGGGGAAATACAAATGTCTGGCATTACATTTGTTCTCTTTTTAATTCAGTACCGTTCCCCGACCTACACTGTCCCAAATCATTTGTTTAGCCTCTGAGGACTATCAACAGGCAAGCCACCACACACACAACAAATGGTTCTCTTTCCCAAATGTCTCTCGTTCCCACCACTTGGATAAACAACTCCCCACAAAAGATCCATTCTGCTGGTGTTGGCAAAGGGACCATGTTAAAGAAACTAAACTAGCTACACAGTTTCAAACTATAACAGATGAATGGCACCTCAGAACAACAGAGTGACCAAACAGTACTACACAGGCAGGAGGTTTCAATGAGGCTGGGAAACATTTACTCAACAAGGATAGACACCATTCATTACTGAAAAGTAAGGAATTACATAAAGGTGTGAGAGAAAGGCAGATAGAGGGAAATAGAAAGAGAGATGGGAGGAGAAAATAAATAGGGGGGAGAAAGAGAAATATTATAAAAGAGTGACGAGAGACCGACAGCGAGACCTACAGAGAGAGACCGATAGAGAGACCTACAGAAAGAGGCCGACAGAGAGACCTACAGAGAGAGGCCGACAGAGAGACCTACAGAGACCTACAGAGAGAGACCGACAGAGAGAGACCTACAGAGAGAGACCTACAGAGAGAGACCGACAGAGACCGACAGAGAGACCTACAGAGAGACCTACAGAGAGAGGCCGACAGAGAGACCTACAGAGAGACCGACAGAGAGAGACCGACAGAGAGACCTACAGAGAGAGACCGACAGAGAGAGACCGACAGAGAGACCTACAGAGAGAGGCCGACAGAGAGAGACCGACAGAGAGACCTACAGAGAGAGACCTACAGAGAGAGACCTACAGAGAGAGACCTACAGAGAGAGACCTACAGAGAGACCTACAGAGAGAGACCTACAGAGAGAGACCGACAGAGAGACCTACAGAGAGAGACCGACAGAGAGACCTACAGAGAGAGACCGACAGAGAGACCTACAGAGAGAGACCGACAGAGAGACCTACAGAGAGACCTACAGAGAGAGGCCGACAGAGAGACACCGACAGAGAGACCTACAGAGAGAGACCTACAGAGAGAGACCTACAGAGAGAGACCTACAGAGAGTGAAAGATGGGAAAAGGATGCAGCTCTGGGTTCTATTACAGAGATGTGTTTGCTAAACCCCTCCAGTGTTGAGCTGTGGAACATGATGGGGCTCCCACAGCAGACTTCCAGTGAGCCAAGTTTGGTCAGCTGTTATAAAGGCCAGCTGCAGAGGGGCGTGTGTGTGTGTGTGTGTGTGTGTTACCGTCCATAACCTCTGGTTCTGTCCTAATGTTTAAAAAGAGAGGAATACACACAGACACACACACACACACACACACACACAGAGGGACCTTACGCTATGGTACACGACAGAGAGAAGTGATAAGCTAAACGTGTTGACAAATCACCTAACACTTCCTCTGTCGCTTTGTCTTGTCCTTCTGTGACTCAGACATTCTGACTGCTGGTGTGTGTGATGTCGTAAGAGTCTTAGTGTGTGTGTGTGGGGGGGGGGGGGGGGGGGGGGGGGTGTATGTGGACGTTACTGATAACTGAGAGAGTTTATGTACAGTAATGTTCAGTGGAACAATAACTGCCAGTCAGTCAGATGACATAACAGACAGCAGGCATGGAAACTCTTTACGGCGTTTGAGTGTGACTAAGAATAACCGCTTCAACTGTGTGTGTATGTCAGGGCTACAGCCCTGCTTGTCTGTTCTGTGACATCAGCAGACCAGCTCAGCACTTCCTCTCCTCTCTGCTTTACTCAGCACACACCTACTGATACGTCCCTCTCCCTCCCTCCCTCCCTCCCTCCTACCCTGAACCAGTTTCCCTTCAGGCTGGTCTGGTTTTCTCTGCTTCATTCGTTCAGTTGGATTTGGCCGTGACACACACACACACACAAACATACTGTACGCTTTCACACAAAACACACAGGAAAGCCAGGTAGGGCATGTGTGAGCCTGTGTAGGACCCAGAGGGTGTGTGTGTTAGTAGTCTGGCTGCTATGGTAACCAGAGGGGCCCACTAAAGCCCCTAATCTCTAATTTGTCCGTCATTAGTCAGACGCAGAGAGAGAGAGAGAAAACAGGAGAGAGGGCGAGAATGGGATAGGGGAGAGGGGGAATGTAACCCATCCCTGAAGGAAGTGATGCATTAAAGCAGGAAATGATTGATAATAGGTGACTGGGGGTTCAGGAGGTCAGTGAGCACACACACACACACACACTCCATCATGTCCCTCTACAGGTTCAGTAGAAGTGTTCTATAAATAGAGAGCAGGAACAGAGTCATACACAGCCAACACCACAGCCAAGGTCCAAACACAGGGTATTACCCTGGGCGCCTACCTAGTACCTCCCATCCTGTTTGGCCATCCCCTGTCCCCTCCCCAGGATGCTGGCTAAACACACCGGGCATACGGCTGACACCCTGACGTGTGTGAGGCACAACCAGTGTCCCACAGATACACACAGTGAGGTAGAGCTCTGGCACCTAAACATGCCAACACTGTTTCTATTCAGAGATGGGATAGGAGAGGAGAAGAGGGGAAATGTGTGTGTGTGTGTACCTGTCTGACATCTCATTAAAAAAGGTACGTACTGCTCATAGACGCTCTCATCTGTATACAAGGTATTTTCCTTCTTCTAAAGATCCTTGGGCTAGCTAGTCCTCTCCTCTGCTTTTATCTGACCCACTGAAGAGAAGAGAATTTAGGAAAATAGCAAAGCAGTGTGTTTTGGGTGTTAGAATGTTCTAGACGTGTCAAGCATGGTGTGTTTGGAATGTTGTAGGCAGGTAGTTGTTGGCTCAGGGGACTGGTTCCATAGCCTAATAGTTCCATGCTGCCAGAGTTTTGTTGGGTGTTGCGTTGAGCATTCATTGCAGACCATTTCATGAGGCCCAGTAATCCCATGATGCATTGGGAGCGGCAGGCTTTGACTTGATCAGAGCTCTGTGGGGACAAATAATCCTCTACAGACACATCTCCTTTAAGGGAGGCCACTGGGTGACGGTGTGTGTGTGTGTGTGTGTGTGTGTGTGTGTGTGTGTTTGTGAGATAGACGAGGTCTGTACAGCTGATAAGAAGAAAGATAAAAGTCAAGTTGGGGTACATCTGATTTCCCCTCCCCTCATACTCTCCCTTTCACCTCTGATGAAGGTTAATAATCGAGAGAGACAGAGACAGAGAGAGAGATAAAGAGAGGAGAAACAAACCTGCAGGTCTATGAGATTAACCAAATATTAGACTAACCAAGGTAAAACCACACAGGTAAAACACACACACCTGCTTACTGCAGAGACAAACGTGAATCTACCATTGAACAGAATATGACCGTTTGTGTTTCAAGTTGTATTAGTCGTATGTACGGGATACGCATTGTATACATCGTCCAACTAAATGCTTCTAGCAGGTTCCTTCTCGACAATGCAACAATAATGTGTGTGTGTGTGTGTGTGTGTGTGTGTGTGTGAGAGATAGTGTTTGCTTTTGCTCATGTCTGTATTTTTCCTCCTGAATCCAGGGGTAAATTATGTAGTTTGGGAATTTCAGTCGCATTCCATGCAGAGTCTGACACGGAGCTGGAAAATACCTAGGCAGAACTCCAGGACTTAGAACAACAGGAAAACTAGACCGGATTTACACACGGGACATGAGAAACGATACCAGAGGAAACATTTCACCTCTACCATGGCTACCTCTCTTCCAACCCCTCACTATACCTCTAGTTTTCACCCTCGCTTTTACTGTAAGCCCTCCCTTTAAAATCAACCTCTCTCTCTCTCTCTCCACCATCTCTGTCAACCTCCCTCTCCAACTAGCACTACTACAGAACCACTACAATACTATAACATATTTTACAATCTTATGAAATATTTACCAATCTGCACATAATACATATCCTCTCTAAGAAAAGCCTAAATAGGCCTACATCTCCACCTATTGATTAAGTATGTCAGGCTAACTCTGATATCTCTAAAATGCTTCATATTCATGTAGGTTGTACAGATCTAGACTTATCTGCTAGAATGTGTGTGATGCCCTTTGTGTAGTGCCATTTTGTCTTGGTTTACTGCCTAGCCCTACTGCAGCTCCAATCAAAATTGATCATGTGAGGCATTTGCTCTCACTTTTATACTGATAAACAACATCAAGCCCAGTAGAGAGAGAGAGAGAGAGAGTGTGAGTGAGCGAGTGCATGCGATCGTTCATGAGAACTCCGGAACATTGATTGGCCAGAGGATTGCAGATGAGATAGCCAGCATTAATCAGTGCCTATATCTGGTTGAGCCTGTGGGTTTCAAGTGCACTGCAGTGAGTGTTACAATAGCGTCAGTAAACAAACCTATTCTATTTGCATTCTATTCTCTATTCTGTACATTCTACTGCACGTGTTCAACACCAACAGGCTGGGCCACATCGCTCAAATAACAATCAGACATTAGTCTATAAAGCCTAGCCAGCCTCCCCCACACCACACTACATCTCCCCATAAGGCATTGTCTGGTGTGTAAGCCATAACCGGCTGTTCAGAACTCTGCCATATGTACAGACCGTATGTGTTATAGACATTACATATCAACCTTCACCATCTGACACTTCAAAGCACACGGGTCAGGGTGTATGTATGTATACAGTACCAGTCAAAAGTTTGGACAGACCTACTCATTCAATTTTTTATTTTTTTTTTACACTTTTCTACATTGTAGAATAATAATGAAGACATCAAAACTATGAAATAACACATACGGAATCATGTAGTAACCAAAATAGTGTTAAACAAAATATATTTTAGATTCTTCAAAATAGCCACCCTTTGCCTTGATGACAGCTTTGCACACTCTTGGCATGCTCTCAACCAGGTTCATGAGGTAGTCACCTGGAATGCATTTCAATTAACAGGTGTGCCTTGTTAAAAGTTAATTTGTGGAATTTCTTTCCTTCTTAATGCGTTTGAGCCAATCAGTTGTGTTGTGACAAGGTAGGGGTGGAAACATTTACATTTTAGTCATTTAGCAGACGCTCTTATCCAGAGCGACTTACAGTTAGTGAGTGCATACATAATTAATTTTTCATACTGGCCCCCCGTGGGAATCGAACCCACAACCCTGGCGTTGCAAACGCCATGCTCTACCAACTGAGCTACATCCCTGCCGGCCATTCCCTCCCCTACCCTGGACGACGCTGGGCCAATTGTGCGCCGCCCCATGGGTCTCCCGGTCGCGGCCGGCTACGACAGAGCCTGGATTCGAACCAGGATCTCTAGTGGCACAGCTAGCACTGCGATGCAGTGCCTTAGACCACTGCGCCACTCGGGAGGTTATACAGAAGAAGGTGTACACTCGGGAGGTATACAGAAGAAAGCCCTATTTGGTAAAAGACCAAGTCCATATTATGGTAAGACCACCTCAAATAAGCAAAGAGAAACGACAGTCCATCATTACTTTAAGACATGAAGGTCAGTCAATGCGGAACATTTCAAGAACTTTGAAAGTACCTTCAAGTGCAGTCGCAAAAACCATAAAGCGCTATGATGAAACTGGCTCTAATGAGGACCGCCACAGGAAAGGATGACCCAGAGTTACCTCTGCTGCAGAGGATAAGTTCATTAGAGTTACCAGCCTCAGAAATTGTAACCCAAATAAATGCTTCACAGAGTTCAAGTAACAGACACATCTCAACATCAGCTGTTCAGAGGAGACTGCGTGAATCAGGCCTTCATGGTCGAATTGATGCAAAGAAACCACTACTAAAGGACACCAATAATAAGAAAAGACTTGCTTGGACCAAGAAACACGAGCAATGGACAGTAGACTGGTGGAAATCTGTCCTTTGGTCTGATGAGTCCAAAGTTGAGATTTTTGGTTCCAACCGCCGTGTCTTTGTGAGACGCAGAGTAGTAGGTGAACGGATGATCTCTGCATGTGTAGTTCCCACTGTGAAGCATTGAGGAGGAGGTGTGATGGTGTGGGGGTGCTTTGCTGGTGACACTGTCTGTAATTTATTAAGAATTCAAGGCACACTTAACCAGCATGGCTACCACAGCATTCTGCAGCGATACGCTATCCCATCTGGTTTGAGCTTAGTGGGACTATCATTTGTTTTTCAGCAGGACAATGACCCAACACACCTCCAGGCTGTGTAAGGGCTATTTGACCAAGCAGGAGAGTGCTGGAGTGCTGCATCAGATGACCTGACCTCCACAATCCCCCGACCTCAACCCAATTGAGATTGTTTGGGATGAGTCGGACCGCAGAGTGAAGGAAAAGCAGCCAACAAGTGCTCAGCATATGTGGGAACTCCTTCAAAACTGTTGGAAAAGCATTCCAGGTGAAGCCGGTTGAGAGAATGCCAAGAGTGTGCAAAGCTGTCATCAAGGCAAAGGGTGGCTACTTTGAAGAATCTCAAATATAACATATATTTTTGATTTGTTTAACACTTTTTTGGTTACTACATGATTCCCTGTGTGTTATTTCATAGTTTTGATGTCTTCACTATTATTCTACAAGAAAAGAAAAACCCTTGAATGAGTAGGTGTGTCCAAACTTTTGACTGGTACTGTGTGTGTGTGTGTGTGTGTGTACACGTTCAAAAGTTTGGGGTCACTTAGAAATGTCCTTGTTTTCCATGAAAACATACATGAAATGAGTTTGAATAGGAAATATAGCAAAATGAATAGGAAATGTAGTCATTGACAAGGTTACAAATAATGATTTTTAATTGAAATAATAATTGTGTCCTTCAAACTTTGCTTTCGTCAAAGAATCATCCATTTGCAGCAATTACAGCCATGCAGACCTTTGGCATTCTAGTTGTCAATTTGTTCAGGTAATCTGAAGAGATTTCACCCCATGCTTCCTGAAGTTGGATTGGCTTGATGGGCACTTCTTACGTACCATACGTACCATACGGTCAAGCTGCTCCCACAACAGCTCAATAGGGTTGAGATCCGGTGACTGTGCTGGCCACTCCATTATAGACAGAATACCAGCTGACTGCTTCTTCCCTAAATAGTTCTTGCATAGTTTGGAGCTGTGCTTTGTGTCATTGTCCTGTTGTAGGAGGAAATTGGCTCCAATCAAGCGCCGTCCACAGGGTATGGCATGGCGTTGCAAAATGGAGTGATAGCCTTCCTTCTTCAAGATCCCTTTTACCCTGTATAAATCTCCCACCACCAAAGCACCCCCAGACCATCACATTGCCTCCACCATGCTTGACAGATGGCATCAAGCACTCCTCCAGCATCTTTTCATTTGGTCTGCGTCTCACAAATGTTGTTCTTTGTGATCCGAACACCTCAAACTTCGATTAGTCTGTCCATAACACTTTTTTCCAATCTTCCTCTGTCCTGTGTCTGTGTTCTTTTGCCCATCTTAATATTTTATTTTTATTGGCTAGTCTGAGATATGGCTTTTTCTTTGAAACTCTGCCTAGAAGGTCAGCATCCCGGAGTTGCCTCTTCACTGTTGACGTTGAAACTGGTGTTTTGCGGGTACTATTTAATGAAGCTGCCAGTTGAGAACCTGTGAGGTGTCTGTTTCTCAAACTAGACACTAATGTATTTGTCCTCTTGCTCAGTTGTGCACCGGGGCCTCCCACTCCTCTTTCTATTCTGGTTAGAGCCAGTTTGCGCTGTTCTGTGAAGGGAGTAGTACACAGCGTTGTACGAGATCTTCAGTTTCTTGGCAATTTCTCGCATGGAATAGCCTTCATTTCTCAGAACAAGAATAGACTGACGAGTTTCAGAAGAAAGTTATTTGTTTCTGGCCATTTTGATTCTGTAATGGAACCCACAATTGCTGATGCTCCAGATACTCAACTAGTCTCAAGAAGGCCATTTTTATCGCTTCTTTAATCAGCACAACAGTTTTCAGCTGTGCTAACATAATTGCAAAAGGGTTTTCTAATTATCAATTAGCCTTTTAAAATTATAAACTTGGATTAGCAAACACAACGTGCCATTGGAACACAGGACTGATGGTTGCTGATAATGGGCCTCTGTACGCCTATGTAGATATTCCATTAAAAATCAGCCGTTTCCAGCTACAATAGCCATTTACAACATTAACAATGTCTACACTGTATTTCTGATCAATTTGATGTTATTTTAATGGACAAAGAAATGTGCTTTTTTTTCCGAAAACAATGACATTTCTAAGTGACCCCAAACTTTTGAACTGTAGTGTTTATAGCCAAATGCCATTTTACATGTATGGGATGAAGGTGGAGCTGTGTTCCAATCAGACCGCCACACATTCCAAAAAGGCATCCTTTAGGGCAGGCTACATATTTTATTGAAGTAGGTCCAGAAGTAGTGTACCATGCTGTAGTCTGGTTGTAACTGGTTGTAACTGGTTGTAACTGATTGTTACTGGTTGTAACTGATTGTTACTGATTGTAGCAGAGGGAGGGACATCAAAGCCCTGTGTGAGAGTCTGATCTGAAGAGGCAGGGTGAGATTTCACTGTGTGGTGACACTCTGCCATCCCCACGCCAGGACCAGACCACAGCCCTCAGCCCCTCCGCTCCAACCACTGACCAGCAGGATGCACATGTAATGAGGAGGAAGACTTGCTCCATCTCTCTCCTGCGCTCCTCCTCCCTCATGTCTCTGAAACATGAGAAGAAAACCAGCTATAAGAGCTTAGGCTTTGATACTGACTTACCCTTAAGTATACCCTCTTCCTTCCCTTCCCTCAGCCCAGTGCCTCTACAGCAACAGGCCCATGCCAAGTATTACATTCTGCACTTCTGTGTACGAAATGTCAGATGGTGACAATTAAGTTAGCCTAGATTTAACAGAAATAGCTGTAAATAGAGTTAAATAGCTGTAAATACCTGTATATTCCTGTAAATAGATGTAAATGGAGGTATATGGCTGTAAATGGAGGTAAATGGCTATAAATGGAGGTAAATAGCTCTAGGCCTGAATAAATAACAGATGTACAGAATAATAGTGACAGAAGCTCTAAATACAGAAGTAGCCTCCAGAAACACAGAAGATAGAGGGGTTTTATTATGAGTCAAATTACTCTTAGCTTGGTGAAGCAGTTAGAATAACTTGACACACACACAACCTTTGCGTCTTGTCCTCTACTTCATCTGTACCGATCTGAAAAGAGTTGTAAAAAAATAGTGAAAGTAACATGGCGGAAGCCCGTCATGGCTGTCTTTCACCTGCTCAACTCTCTCACATCAGTACAGAAGAAGGAGAGGAGACAGAGGAATGAACTCACTTCAGAGGACCAGAGAAGGAGTTAGGAGTTACGGAGTTAGGCAGCTAAGCCTAGGTTCTGTAGACCTAAGCCCTGATATGCATATTCTGGCATTTCTGGGCCTAAAATGGCAGTGTGCTATTCTGCCATGCATGACTAGTGGTGTGTATGGCCTGCATAGTTATAATGAGCTCAGCCCACTAAACACTGCTGGGGCTTACACAAAGAAAATAAACATGCCCAGCTCCCTGTCTGATGATAGACCGGGTCTACATCACTCACATATCTTATGGCAGACAGTCTTAATGCCAATCATTTCTGGATTAAGTTACAACCACAACATTCTCCTATCTGGCCCAGTGTCATATGGTCAGAGGCAACATTGTTGCAGGTCATACTGGGGTACTTGTATCTTTATCTAGAAGCATATCAATCTGTAATGTTATGTCGTGTTAAATGGCCAAACTGTCCTGTCAACACTCTAGATACCGGTCAGTGAATGACTGAGAGCAAGACAGTTCCCACTAGCCTACATTCTGGTCGACACAAATACACTCCGACTTCCCTCAGTAGAGAGAGTAAAACCTTTGATAATCTTTGATAATCATAACCAGCAGACAGCATCTCTCCCAACCCCCAAACAACACACACAGGCAGACACGCACGGATGCACGCGCGCACACACACACCATAACGTCTCACTCAGATCCTCCAAAGTCCTGTCTCAGCAATAAGACACTCACAGCTAATAGGATCAGTGTTGACGAACTCTGACCTCATAGAACAGGAACAGATGGAAACAGACAGAGGGGGAGGAAAGAGTGAGAGATGGGGTCATCGAGGTAAAGGAGAGGGTGAGGGGTTGAACTTGGCCCTGTTGGGTGCCGTGGGATGGGCTTAGGAGCTGCTTTACAAGCTGGATCAATGTTGACGAGACACGCTGCTAGAGGACAGGATCATGTATTTATAAAGGGGATAATGAATATTAACGTCTAATAATGAGGTTAGGAATGCATGATACATAAGACACCACAGACTACATTAATAACGTCTTTGTGAATAGAAGGACATGGTTATAAACGTGTAATATGCCTACACCATTTATAACCAGTTATTGGAGGATGACAACACAACGTATAATAATAACAACCTTGTAGGCCTGTATGAAGACATTGGTTATAAAAAAGGCTAATAGTTATTTCTGGTAATATTATTCATTTCCCTTCACTTTCCTTTTTTTCATCCGCTTTTCTATTCTAGATCTGCCTTATCACTGTTCTGCATTCCACATGCCCATATGGAAAAGGACTCTGGCTTGCCTGAACCTGCTTGCATAGTGAACACAGTGAAACGTGTATTTACTAACACACAAAGACACACACTGCAACGTGTCAGTGTTTATAGACTGCTAACAGCAGTGATAGATCCCTGTGAGAGAGAGGAGCGCTAGCCATATCCTGTCCTGTGTGGGTTTCTCGCACATCTAGGCAGTCATGTCCATGACATGTTTACTATGGACTGGCTATCAGATAAGCAGCTTTCCAATCAGCAGGACCTGAGCAGGCTAGATAGGTAGGGCCTCTAATTTGGCCTTGGGATAAAACTGACTGACTGGGACACCTGCCAGTGACAGACAGAGTTCAGCAGAGACATAGACAACAGTATGTTTTTAATCCAAAACAACATTGAGGAATTTGATTGGTACACTTTACTTGATACCCTATGTCATAACACGTTATGACACAGTCATAACCATGTCATAATAGCTGACATAACCTGTCATAATATGGTCATAGCACTGTAATGACCCATATATTTACATCTGTTGTGACATATATTGTGGTATTTTATGGCTGGTTATGACACCTACGTAAGAGTTCAAAACCAACATTTATTCAAATTAGTTTTTTCCCTGCCAAGAAATGTCCTTTCATTTGAAAGTTTGTTTCTTCATTCCTTTGTTGTTGTAATGAATTCTTTACAGTCATTTTTTTCATCATATTTTAAATAACTTGTAGAAAATACACTTTATGATACTGTCATGAAGCATTATGACCATCATAATCATATAAGCCAGATAGGCCTATCATTACATGCCCTTATATCAGTCATCAGTCAAAAAGAGGGTGTCTTGTCCTGCTCCTGAAATCTGCTCCTGCATTCATCCCAATCATCAGCAACAGAGCTTTGGGGTCGGTGCATGCCTGACATCAATGTGTGCGCAATTTCAATTATAATTTAACATGGTCAATAAATAAATAAAATATATAACATAAACATACTGTTGACACGTAGGCTATGGTGTAATGAAGTGTTTTGTCTTGTGTGGTAGGTTGACACTTATATAGGTGTCATAACCAGACATAAAATAACACAATATATGTCACAACAGGTCTAACTATATGTCATGACAGTGTTATGACCATATTAAAAACATGTTATGTCAGCTGTTATGACATGGTTATGACCTTGTCATAACGTATTTTGTGTGTCAAGTAAAGTGTTACCATATGATCGACCATCAATAAGGTAATAATAATAACAACAATATGGTTGTTAAGCAGGCAGTTAACCTACAAGTCACATATACTGTGTGTGTACTTCCTGTGTAGAGAGGATGTGTACTGTATACCATACTGTACATATGTATGTGTGCCAAACAGATCTGTAACTGATCTTCTCCCCCAGGTCTGTTCACAGCGACCCCCCCTCTCCTTTTCTTCCCCCTTCTCTAGCTGAAGCACATGTGGGAAGATTGCATGTTTTATTTATCAATTCTTGGCTCCATTTTTCCAGTAAATTCCAGGCTGTGGTGCAAGCAGCCAAGAAACCCTCCCTGGGTTTTTGCTGCTGTCATTCCCCATTGCTAGCATGCAGATTGAGCCCTACGCACACTCTTGCGAATGCTTACACACACACACACACACACACACAAAGGAGAGAGGGGCATGCTCATCTCTGCCAGGAAAAAAATTGGAAATTCGACAGCAAACCCTGTGGAAAACAAGGAGAAAGGAGAGCCCCTTGATATAAGAGGGGGAATCATTTATCTTCTTCTTTCTTTCCCAATATGAGCAGAGAAACTAGAGGATATACAGCGGGGTCTGAAATAATTGACACCCTTGATAAAGATGAGCAAAAATGACTGTGTAAAACAAATAATTTAAATAGTGAGCTATATTGTATGCACAAATGGGGAAATTATATTATTGTATACTAAACTAACTGTAAGTCGCTCTGGATAAGAGCGTCTGCTAAATGACTAAAATATAAATGTAAATGTTGTGACACCATATATTCAGTAACATCATTTTTGATGTTTAATACAATTGCTCAGAGAAAGAGATTTAAAAAACCGTGCCAAAAAGGTAGGGGCCAAAATGATTGATACCTTTCAATACCTCACCTTGTGAGGAGAACGGCACTGAGCCTTTTTCTAAACACATTGGGAGGGACCATTCTTCCATACAGAACCCTTCCAGATCCTTGATATCCTTCGTCAGTCCTTATGGACTGCCCTCTTTAATTCAAACCACAGGTTTTCAATGGGTTTCCAGTCCGGAGACTGACATGGCCATTGCAAAATGTTGAGGCCAATTAACAATTTCTTTGTGGATAAAATGTCCTGGTACTGGGTAAAGTTAATGATGCCGTTGCCCTTAACAAGAGCCCCAGGACCAGTGGAAGCAAAATAGCCCCATAACATCAAAGATCCACCACCGTATTTTACAGTAGGTATGGGGTTGTTTTCTGCATTCTCATTTCGACACCAAATCCAACACTGGTGTGTGTGTGTGGCCAAAGAGTTCTATTTTCATGTCATCCAACAAATGTAAACGCCTGGATATTGCTAAAACTGCATTTGACACGGATTGGAACCGGTGCTTTGGTCAGATGAAATGAAAATAGAGCTCTTTGGCCACACACACCAGTGGTGGGTTTGGCATCGAAATTAGAATGCATAAGCAGAAAAGAGCCCCATACCTACTGTGAAATATGGTGGTGGATCTTTGGATTAAAGAGGGCAGTCCATAAACGCAGACTAAGGATATCAAGGATCTGGAAGGATTCTGTATGGAGGAATGGTCTAAGAACCTTCCCAATGTGTTTTCCAACTCCTTTAGAAAAAGGGTCAGTGCCATTATCCTCACAAGGTGAGTTAATGAAAGGTATTGAAAACAGGGGTGTCAATAAAAACATTACTTTTGACTAAATATTACAAAAAATATTACTTGTTAAACAAAATCTCTTTCTCTGAGCAATTGTATTAGTATAAAATAATATAATTTCCCAATTATTTTGAGCATACAATAGAGCTCAGTATTTGAATTATTTATTTTATGCAGTCATTTGCTCATCTTTATCAAGGGTGTCAATAATTTCAGACCATGCTGTA